TCACTTAGAATTTCAGTAACTCTAGAATCGCTAGCAATCGTTTTTTTTTATCGGACACTATTCCATTTCATAACATAAACGTCGTAAGCCAGTATTTATTCTGTGCAGCTACCCTCTGTCTCATTCTGTAAGTTTTTCACGTTTTAATAAGTTATATGAATTACTTTTATTTTATATTTTATGATTTTTTTAATTATATTGTAATCTAATGTTTAAGATAAGTATTGCACTCCTGTAATTTTTCACATTTTAGTACAATTATTCCTACTTCCGGGTTGCCTGACACAGATGGTTGTAGAATATTATATGTTCAAATTCTACTGTTCCTTGTTATCTTACGTATTTTTAATAAAAATAAATCAGTGGCGCTACAACCTCTTTAGGTCTTGGCCTCAGATTTCTGAATCTGTTTCATGATCATTTTTAAATCTGATAGGCAAGTAGGTGATCAGCCTCCAGTGCCTGACACACACCGTCGACTTTTTGGGTCCATGACATGTCGGTTTCCTCACGACGTTTTCCTTCACCATTCGAGCATATGTTAAATGCGCACATAGAAAGAAAGTCCATTGGTGCACAGCCGGGGATCGAACCTACAACCTCAGGTATGAGAGTCGCACGCTGAAGCCACTAGGCCAACACTGCTCAATTTTTAATAAAGTGTTTAAAAAAATTAAACCGTTTACCTCTGTACAGGCACGTAATAGAGCTGGCAGCGAAGGGATAAAGTCATAACGTGTTTTTACACTACAACATTTTTATAGTAAAACCTATTTAAGTGGTGACAAAAATGCAATTTGACATACGACAAAGAGTAGGTACTCACACCATGTCAAATTTCTAAGCTCAGTGGGGTCTGCTCTAATCCAATTGAGGGCTTTTCACTATGACTGTCAATGTTCCCTTTAAAATTCGAATAGCCAATCCTATTTTAAAGTTTCACCTAGTAATAAACAATCCTATTGTAGAAAAGATTTTCTCAGATTATGATGTTATATAAATAGAACAAGATTACTTTGTGAAATACAAAAACCGTTCCATTTCACAATAAAGGTGTACTTTACTTGTTCAATTTGTAATCGACTTCAAAAATATGAAAGATTGGTCGATGTGAGATTTTTTCTTTGATTTGATGCATTCTCCTTAGAAAGAAACAAAAATACTGACATCCATAGCCCAGACATTAGATGCTATAAGAGGAATCAATTCAAGACAAGAGTCTTGTCGGAACGTGTATTTAAAATTTCAAGTTCGCGCGTTTATATTTTATCCTCCTTGAAAATTTTTACTATGGAGCTGGCTTTAGAGCAACGTTAGAGGTCCATGCTCCTCCATATTCTACAGTTGCGTGTTGGTGTGTTGAGTTCAAGCGAGGAAGAACTTCCGACGCATGGGACGTCCTACATCAATAGTGACTGATGATTAAACAAGATCTTGACCGGTTTTGGCTCGATTTATAACTATAGACGAAACAATTCTTCAGCATTATGACCCGGAAACGAAAAAGATTGATGGAACATCCTCCATATTCTGCAGATGATTTCTACCCATTTACGCGGTTAAAGGAACATCTCAGGGGCCATAAATCTAAGATGATGACGCAGTTGTCGCCGCGGTGCACGATTTTTTAAGAAATCAGGAATAATCAATAATTTTAATAATAACAATGTATACCGCAAACCAATGAGCAAATTGTAAATAAAGAGTATTAAAATATTATTATGTTCAGGTGCACTGCAATATAGGATATTAAATAGATCCCAGTAGAGTGGGCGCGGCCGGTTTGAGGCTCTCTGGCTCCCGCTAGATTTCCCAGGGGAGGCCGTTAATTTTCTGCCGCCTTGAGCATACTGCCCACAGGGGAATCTACCTTTCGCGTAGCCATTCAGTCTGAAGGTGTTATTCTGACAGGCAGATTACCTTTCAGAACGGACCCGAGAACGGAACTCAAAGTATTTCATATTTTGTACCGGAAATAGGTTTTATTAATTAATTAAAATAATACAAATATTTTATATTCCAACTTTTATTAACATTAACCGAATGATAGCATTGCATGTTGTAATGTTATTAAATGTTTATTCATGCTTTTGTTTCTAGGTTTTGGACCTAAACATAGAAATCGATTGCATTAAATTTCTCTACCACGTGTATGAAACACAATTCAAACACTTTACAAATATAATCAAAAGTTGTACTTTTACGTAGTATCAAAACAATATTAACATTTATATGAGATTATGTAGAAAAGATCCACGTAGAAAGGTCAAATATTTGATTTTAAGTTAATTTGTTTATTAAATTAGAAATTCGCTTGTGACACAGGTGAGTAATAAAGTTTAAACTATAATTTATTGAATTTTTTGTATACTGTTACTATAAAGTATGTGTATAATAAACATTTTGAACTATACACGAAACAAATATACTCGATGATTGTCCGTATAACGTTGTGAATAGTGATTAAGCGTGCAAGTACTCTGGGGTCGTGCGCAGATAGACTTCTGTCTTCAGCCAATAATACTTGACCATGCGGTGTAATAAAACTTCACAAGAAAACTGACATATTATAGACCCAATAGTCGACGATGAATGTATGTTAGGCACAGAGTGATTGACTGATGATTACAGTCTTGCCTATAAAGAATAGAATTTTGAGACGAAGACCCAATGAAGGGTAACGCTACTGTATGTATGAATACTACTTAATTTTACAATAACGCCATTATTTCTATTACAAGGCATCTTTGTAGTGCTTAAACGCATATTTCCGTAAATAACCCGCCTAAATATTAATTAATAGATAACAAAGTGGAATGTTTCCCTAGACTAATGTCCAGGGAGGCTCAGCAATCAGCTGGGATTCCCCTGCGGCTGTATTAATCACAAGTCGTGGTCTACATAGGACACGTAATAGTGTATCTATTTAAAAGCAAAACAATTATAAAAGAATCGAAAAATAATAAACAAGAGATGACATTAAAAATACACATCAATTTGATAACCTCCTTTGAGGTTTTTTAGGTCGGTTAAAAAGAGTAAATACTTTCATTTTAATAACTTATATAAGTTATATCTGTATAATGTTTATTTAACATCCTGACATACTATTATACTTTTCTCAGTCACGTTTAAGATAAATAGTTCGCGTATACGTTAAAAAAGTCCACCGTTATAAACTTATTTTACATCGTCTGTCTTTATTATAGATGCCGCTGTATATTAGAAAGAATTAATATGGGATTTTGACTAGGCGTTTTCTGGCGTATAAATATTTAGCATATATATATATACTGTGAAGCAATATAGTTTATACAAAGGTTGTTTACTATATGTATTATGTATATACTGTGATGGATATATGGCGATGGCTCGATAAATATCAAGGCGAATGAAATATATTTATAACTATAAACCTTCATTTAACTCATGTTTCATAAAAGAGCAGTTAAATAATAAGTAACAACGCTACGTTAACTAGGTTCGTACTAGACAATATCATTAAGTGAAAATGTCTTGGGAGTAGGTTCCATTCTCCACAAGAAACTACCTAGCTACAGATAGAACTACAGACTTGCGAGTGTGTGCGGTTATTCCCCTGAGACGGAAGAAAGTGTGCCCGTTCCGTCACCTGGGATCTGGGGTGGGATACACGAAGCCATTAAGCAGACAATTGACTTTTTGCCTAAAGTTAACCACTTTTAGTAATTAAGCATTGGAACAATGATGGCATCAGGTCGCGGGTCATCCCTGGCGGGTGCTGATAATATCTAAATGCCTAATGGTGGGCCTGTGACGAATGTATTGGGTCCACCCCCCGCGCGCCGCCCGCTCGCCTCTCCACTATGTGATAATTCCAAACGCTGCGGCCGCGCCACCTGGGATCTCCCAGGGCCGAACTGCCGTTGTGTAACATAAAATAACAAAAAAGATATTAACTATAACGAGTACTTTCCACTTTTATTAATTTTTCATGCAGCAGTTGCTCATGGTTAATATTAGCTCGCATACATTTTATACCAACACTGGCTCCCCTAACACAGCGCACTATCTAAATTTAAAGTTAATCTTTTTCTAACATAAACTATAGAGATATAATTTCAGCTATAAAATGTTGTTAATTTTGGGTTTTTTTTTATTTATAGAACGGGGCAAACGGACAGGAGGCTCACCTGATGTTAAGTGATACCGCCGCCCATGGACACTCTCAATGCCAGAGGGCTCGCGAGTGCGTTGCCGGCCTTTTAAGAATTAGTACGCTCTTTTCTTGAAGGACCCTAAGTCGAATTGGTTCGGAAATACTTCAGTGGGCAGATGGTTCCACATAGTGGTGGTGCGCGGCAAAAACTGCCTTGTGGAACGCTCAGTTGTGGAACGGCGGACGTCGAGGTGATACGGGTGGACGTATTCTGCCTCGACGTCCGATGATGAAACTCAGCTGCAGGTATTAATCCGAACAACTCCTCTGAACACTCTCCATGGATTTAGCTATAAAAATATTACTTTAATGCAATATAGTAGAGTCCATATCCATATTATGGGGATTACAATATAATTGTTATGAAACATATCTCTATTGTTGTCAAATTTGTGACAAGTTTGCGAAGAATTTAGGATTGTGGAGTTAGTAGGCATGTTGTGCGGTGTTGCCGGCACGGTTTAGCACCGGACGGAATTCTGAAACACCCGTCCCAATACCGATCGGCATTTAATTAGCCACGTTCCTACTGAGGCGTCCGTCGCCCGACCGAAATTATTCGGATTGCTCATCTTAGTTAACATCTAAATGCCATTGCATTTTGACTTAGGTAAACAACGTTTTTGGCTTCCTGAAGTAAAATCCAGTTGTCTTATACGCCCGAAATATTTTCATAGTTTCCTATTACTCTTCTGCATGAACTTAAAAAACATTTATTAAAACATATCAAAAACAAATAAAATTTATTTTTGTGTTCATTCTGGGAACTTCTTATAGTAGAAATTTTAGTATTGGTAATTTTTTACAACACGATCGGCAAGGAACCGAGTGCGGTCCCGGCATCAGGATCCCTGGGGAACAAGCCCACGCGCCCAACTTCGGGCTCAGCGGCGCCGGCTGCCCCCTCCTCCCCGCACACGCCTCCCATCACCCCCGCAGAGAATACATTTGCGCACCGCTCGTGTTGGCCTAACAACAGTACTGCGACAACGTAAATCCTTCACTAGTAAAAATTACCCATTTTCCGATATATACAAATAAATGTACGAGTTATGAAACAAAGGACATTTTCAAACATATCTCCGTCATCACAATAGACAAGAATGAACAATATGTACTTCTGAGGGTGCTGAATCGGAGTTCGTTTGTTTAAAGTGTGTTCTTCGTAAATATCCGATTGTTAGGTGCCTATAAAATACACAGTTCGGACGTTTCGCAAACATGGAAGGCACTATACCTTGGCATAAAAACGCCGTAATGAAGAACGTTTGTAATAAAGTGCCTCGAGGGCTGTTCAAAAGTTTCAACTCGACGAAGATAAGTACGCGGAGGTCTATGAAGGACCTTTGCGGCCAATTTATTTATAATCTCGGGTCCATCGACTATGAATTAGCATGTAAATATTTGAAGTCCAAGGAGTTGTGGAGATTTATCACAAATGGTGTCGAGATAAGCGAGGACAGAGTCGTAAAGCACCGGGCGGGCGGCGAGGCAGTACACCCTTTGACGAAGTTGTAAAAAGAGCGTTAAACCGCAGTAAAAACGCATAGCGACGCTCTAAGGAGAGCACGGAAAAACTGCTCTTTATTTTAGTAGCCTTATGAATTTCAACGAACTTGTGGATAAAATGACGCACTTTTGGTCTCTAAGAGGGATACTTAAAGGAGATATATAATCACCTTGGCCTCGGGCGTAATATTAATCTTAATTCATTCTTGCCGACAATATTTTAAGCATAAAAAGAGTTACAGTTCTAATTACCTGCTACTTCTAAATCCAGTGCTTCAGAAGATTTATTTGGACAATCATCTTCTATATCTGTAACAACAACAAAAATATAATTATTAATTTCAATACGAACGTGCAGCTGACTTTCTTTAAGATACAATAAATTATTTTATTTTGTATAATATCTCTCACAGCCTATCCCAATAATCAGCGATTTATCAATTTATGTATTGTGAATATATTTTTAATAATGGTCTAAGATCCCGATATACAACGACCTTCACCGAGATGCTTATTTAATGAAACGTATTTTATATTTAATTTAATATGTCAATAAATATAATCCATATGGGTTGCCTAGCAAATTTCAGTCCAGAGTATTTTAATTAATATTAAAAAAAAAAAAAAATTTACATTTCACCGGTATGATTATTAGATAAATTCTATACCAATCGAAAGTATGAAGCCCATAGAATATGCAAACGTTAGGTTGTTTTTAATCAATTTATTATTTATGTGTATATTTTTTATGTGACACTAAAGTATATATACATCTTTAGTAAAAAAGAAAGTTATAGTGATACATATATAATACTACCCTGATTAAAAATATTGATTGAAAAAATTAAAAAAATTTACTACATGCAAATTATAAAAAAAAATATTTTTTTTAAATATTAATTAAACATACTCTGGACTGAAATTTGCTAGGCAACCCATATGGTGTATATTTATTGACATATTAAATTAAATATAAAATACGTTTCATTAAATAAGCATCTCGGTGAAGGTCGTTGTATATCGGGATCTTATACTATAAAAAAATCTGTGTATTTTATTTAGGAGCTATTCAATTTAAAAAAGGAACAAATGTCTAGAGACAAAATAGACCTGTATGATAGACATAAGTCATGATAGACATTCGCTCGTCGATACTCTAATCTGACGATAAATGACCTCTGGTGACCGTGACTGAAGTGCGCCTGTAACTGACAGTTGACTAAGTGCTGGGTGCAGACGTTGCCGCAACAGCGACTAAATCAATCTCCATTGAATTATAACACTGGTTGTTTAAGTTATTTAAGCAATTGGGGAAAACTGATACCCTTTAATCAGCAGGATTTTTAATGTGCGATCATAAACTAGTTATTTTTTATAACTTATCATTGATGTTTAATTTGACAATAAAAGTGCACAAAAATGTATAAATGTTTATTTACTTTGCTTATAAGTAATAAGTTCTTTTTATTTAGACTTTTGGGAGATTTTATAGTACATTTTTTTTTTTAAATAAATAACTTTTGTATTATCTTTAATATCATAGTTTTGTAGGATTTGTACTAATATAAGGAGTTATAAGTTCATACTGTTGGTGGATATATCAATTATAGCTAGGAAAATAGCAAGCCGCTAAACTAACTGACCACTGCAGTACATTCTCAAAATAATAGAGCGGGAATCTGTCACTAGATTATAGCCATGGATCATAGACTGCAGAGACTACTAGAAGTGCTTCTGATAGAACTATGTACGTACTCGTATATGTATATAGATAACTCTATGTGCGGCTTTGCACACAATATATTGTTAAGCTGTAAATAAGCTTGTTTAGTTTTCAACTACAGAAAACTGCCCTTACATAAAATAATAAGTCTTCGTTGTTTTTTTTTATTTACAATATTGCTATAGATTTGTTATAGCCTATCAAACAGTACCAAATTTTAACATTATGTTTATTAGTAGCGTTATTTATCGAATTATGTTAAACCGGCCTTGTTGTGTGTATTGACAATCTATCTGCTACTAGTGGATAAAACACTAACAGCATGAATTTAAAAATTGGAGCTAGACAAGTCTTAAACATTATCTAAGTATTTCTAGCATATTAGTTTTCCATGTTTGCACCCATTGCAGTTGAGCGAGACTCGTATGTCATCCCTTATCCGTGGCCGTACGTCACTGCCAACTGTCAACCACTCCTTTATGCCTATATTCAAATTATGGATTTATGCAAATTTCTAATCTATTCTAATATAAAAAAATATAGTGACTCGCGTTGATAGATATAATTGAAAGGGCCGATAATAATATTCAATCTATTGCCATCTAATGCGGCATCATTACAGACGGGGTGTTTACCATAATATTATCACAACATAAACAATAATCTTTCATAATCACAATAAAATTAGTATTCTCTAAATAGTCTAAATTTTCTATTGTATAAATCTTTTAAAAGATCGATTAAGTAGATGACTTTTTTGCTTGAACTTGTTGATCAACTCAACCTGCTATTTCCCCACAATTTAAATAAGCAATTATTTATACTATACTGAACTGCTGCTGACTAATCCCTGAGGTCGTAGGTTCGAATCCCGGCTCTACACTTGGATTTTCTGACTATGTGCGCCTATGTGTGCCACTCGCTCGTACGGTGAGGTAAAAAATCGTAAGGAAACCGGTATGTCTTAGACCCAAAAAGGCGACGGCGTGTGTAGCACAAAAGACTGATCACCAATTTGCCTATTAGAAAAAACAAATGATCACGAAACAGATATCTTAGGCCCAGATAAAAGGTAAAGCCTCTGGTTTTTTTTTATAGAAATAAAATCTTGACAAAACTGAGACAGAAATAAAAAATACACACCATCAAATATTTCTTCATCGTGGTCTGAGTTGGCTGCCACCTCACTGTCATTGGATACTTCTTGCTCGCCGCTACCACAGGCTTTTGCTTTTGTTCTTTCTTCGACATCATTATCAACACCGTCCAATGTTCCTCCTGGCCAGTCGTCTTCATCAGCTGAGAATTAAGGTAAGTAGTTAATGTTTAACCCATCATATAAACAAACTAGCAGTAAAAAGGTTTTACTAGTTAATAAAATATTACATGTCAGCTTATTAATGATAATTTAACGGCGCTGAATTGCTCCCATAACCCTTGGTTTAAACCGAAACAAATGAAAGATAATTTTATTTTTGCTCAAGTCATAAGGTTTATTTAAGCGAGGGTTTTCCAGAAATTTGAGCATTGCATTGAACAATAACAGGAATGGCTCGGGACTGCGGGAGCAAATCCCTTTAATGTTTCTAACATCGTTACACTTACACGTTTTCGATTTCAGTTATTGTGAAAACCGTCAATAATTTCAGTTATGATGCTAAAACTGAGGTATTTAGAAGATTATATCGCTAAGGATGTTGCAAATACCACTGAGCGTTTCTTTGACATTTAGAATTTATTTAAAAAATTATTTGATTTCATAAGTTACTCTTACAAAAAGATTCACAGCAATATTATTATCTTATGTAGCATGATATCATTTGCTCTCAAATATAAAAAAAACATTTAGATTGCTATGGCTACGGAATTTTCTATATATGTATTTACCCCAAGCCTTAATCGACCAATCGAGGCCAACGTATGAGTTTTAAACCGTATTGTTAAACGTAAACGGTCATAGTTCTACATCTACTTTGATTTGACTTACAATATTAAAGACATACAGACAGACAGAATTATCCACAAAACCGTTTCGTTAAATAAGTGTAATATTCAACGGAGTTATGAAATTTTTTAATATACATATTTAATTAGCTCCTCTCATTTGCTGCTTGCTTACATTTGAATATGTTCTTTTAAACAATTTTTAAATTTACCGCTTTCTATAATTTATTTACTAAAAAAATAACTTTATACAAGTAGACGTACGAAATAAATACAGCTGAAATTTATAATTTTAGATTATTTGTGATGAAAAAACGTACCATTAATGACTACGTATATAAAGCCTCCATGCTACTTCCGCCAATACAAACAAATAGGTGTAATATAGCGTATAGGACCCTCGAGTTATAAACATACTAGCACCAACCGAAATATGCCACAAGGGATGAATTGCACCAAAACATCAGCAACGCTATTGCCAATTCAATTTTGACCACATATTGGTGGAAATATGTATTGTAAAATCTATAATAAAATATTGTTGTAAAAATAATTTATAATTGCAATCAAATTCACGTAATTATTTTGAGGGACATATTAATTATAAGTTAAGCTATAGGTTATATGTGGTTTTATTTTTCAGGAACGAAATTTAACGCGTGACTCCCATATGTCTAAATACTAAATAGTTAAATACACTTACGTTTATACCGAGTATTTGTATTTAGAAACGCTTAAAGTCAATTAAGAAAGGGCTTAATTTAAGTTTAGTTTCTGTAAAGTAATCGGCGACTTTAGCGAAACTAAGCTACAAATCTAGCGCCTCCAAACGAAAACAATCATCATGTAATTAAAAATATAGATAATGATGAAGGATTTAATGTTTAACAAAATATAAAAAAATTATCTTAATAAAAAATCTTCGCAAATCCAATAAATAAAACTAAAAATTCGCACGTCTATTTTATTGGTTTATAAAAAAAATAGTTTTTACATCTTTTATTGTTGAAAATTGAAATTATTTTCTCTTTACAGTTCTATATGTTTAAATACGTCTTCCAAGGGAAAACTCTTAGTTTCTTGCAGTACTATAATCATACAAAGAATAGAAGCCAGACTTCGAGGAGTTTGACAAGAAGAATATTTCTGAATAAGATTATGGCAATATGGCATTCTGGCCACCAACTCAGTTTAGCCCTGGCTACGACCGTCTTACAATACCGTCTCTGAATCTCAGCCTTATTGTCTAAACTATGAACTATTTCCAGAACTGAAGTTCACTACTTTGTCGGAAATTCGTACAAAAAATATACAAAAATCAATACGTTCTCCCAGTTTCTTTTTCCATGTAGGTATAACATACTCGTAATTGTTAGCTACAAAAACAAAAAACCAAATCATAACTGTTCGTCTAGATTTACGACATTAACGTTTACTAGCTTCTACTCAGACTACATAAGTTAGTACTAAAACAGTTTAGAAACGACCTATTCCACAGGCACCCGTTTAGATGTATGTAATACTAATAACTATGATTAAGTATCCACAGTGAAGGAACACAAAGGAATAATAACGCGCCAGCCCAGCTCATTTCCTTTAATACCTTGGAAACTGTAATTTTAATGTTGTCAAGCATCCTTGGGGGGCCTTGAATTATCTTGGATCACTTAAAACTGTTATGTGACCACTCCGGTTAGTAGTAATTTGTCTAGTTCTGAAGATTAAGAAAAAAAAATATGGAAAATGCAACTGCCTGATATCTATATTCTTCGTACATGAGATGACGTAGGTACTGCATGATATTAAATGAGGTTGTGACGACGGATTTATAAAAACAGTGGCGCTAAAAACTTTAAGGTCTGGGTTTCTCAGATTGCTGTATCAGTTTCATGATTATTTATTTTTCTTAATAGCCAAGTAGGTGATCGATGTTCTCATAGACGGAAAGTCCACTGGTGCCCCGCCGGAGATCAAACCTACGGCCTCAGTGAGTCGCGCGCTGAAACCACTAGGCTAACACTGCTCTGAAGAGGACCGATTTCCCGAATGGTTAATCCTCTCACACGGTGTGCAAAGAGCGGTCAAATTGCATTTGATAAAAACCTTGTTTTAACAACAATTATTATTAAACCCTTTGGTTCGCTTTTAAATATACACACAAAAAGAAAGGCGAAAATTGTGAATCGCATAGTGAAAATAAAGAAGACCTAATCGACAGGAACCAATGCACTACTTATCTATATTGGAACGTTCAGTATAAACACAAAACTTTTTCGAACACGCATAAACACTCACCATACAAAATAACAGTTGAAAGTGTGTTAATTTATAAAACAAAATCTAGGTGCGATAAATTTGGAACCATAAAAAGCGTAGTTAATAAACGAGCCAGTCTAACAAAACAAGTCATTCAGGAAAATCATGGCAATCGGCTTTTCAACAAAATCAATAAAATAACACCTATGTCGTACATGATTATTGCGCTAAAATTTCAAAACCAATGCCCTACGGAATTGCCTTTTATATAAGTACAAAATATCTACTGCAGTAGAAACACTGTAGGGTCAAAGAATATCTACGTCTTTGACATAACAGTGTCCTTGTCAGAGACTAGAACGTAACAGCACGCAGCAATTCTCTGGTCGGTCGTATCGATAAGGCCTATTAAATAGAATACATACGAGGCATGCTTAAGTTCGGTCGTTTCCATATTCCGGCAATTTTGAATTTGGCCTGTACTATATCGAATGTGTTTACATTTTGAATCTCAAAACAGTTAAAAGTATTAGGATAATGAATTTTTAGTCACAGCGTCGATTTGAATCTGCAAGTTACGTACGATGTCTTTCTAAAAAATGTTCGTGCAATAATTTTCTACAACTTTAGAAGAGGCCTGAACGGCTTCAGTGTTTTGAAGAGATAATATCTGTGTTCAGTGATAAGCCCCATGCCTGCGGACTGTCGGGAACGCTGGTATTTAAAATTCCAGCGAGGACATACTAGTGTTAGTGACAAATCTCGCGAAGGACGCCCAGGGCAAATCCGCCTTCACTGAAGAAAACATCATTGCTGTGAGACAATTAATTCTCGAAGATCGTCATGTGACGTATTGAGAGATAGAGGTCTATTAGGCATCTCAGGGACAAATTCAGAAGATCTTGCATGAACGCTTGGTGTAGAAAGCTAGTTTGCCGTTGGATACCGCATCTGCTTTCCGACGACACAAGGCGGCCTGCGTCAGATGGTGTAAGAAAACTCTGCAAAGGTTCAACCGAAGAGAGTCAAATCACGTCTACGACATTATAGAGTGATGACGAATCTTGGTCTAGCCTACGATCCTGATTCCATAAACTCTACAATCTGAGTCTTTCAAGACGAGCCAAAGCCGACTAAACTCGTTCGTTCTCGAAGCACTTCAAATTGGTGGCCACGTTCGTTGGAAAAACGGAAACGTGCCGTCTATTGCACTTGAAGATCGTAGAATGGTTAACGCAGAGTGGTATACCACAGTTTGTTTTACCACAAGTCATCGCCAAACTCCGAAAATCTAACTAAAGCGACGCATCATCCTGCACCACGACAACGCAAGCCTCACACGGCGCTCGTCAAACATTCGGTATTTGAAGCAGGAAAAAGTAAAAATTCTTGACTATCCTCCATACAGTCCTGACCTAAGCCCTAACATTTCTTTACATTTCCAAAAATTAAGAAAAGTCTTCGTGGTCAAAGGTTCCAGTCCGGTGAAGAAGCAGTCGACGCTTTCAAATAGCATTTTGACACTCCACTTCAGCAGTTAAATTAATGTTATAATAACTGGTTTGAGCGAATGGAGAAAGTGTATTAAGCTACGTGAGAATACTTTGAAAAACAAAAGTACTAAAGGTTCTAGTTGTGTTTTTCTCAAAGACAAAACTTAAAGGCATGCCTCGTACAATGTGGGTAAGATTCACATTTGGGACTAATGACTTATCGCCTGCAAACAATATTTTTTACATGTTGAGCCTTCTGTAACGTCCAACCGAAACATTCAGCTGACCAACTGTAGGTACTACGTTATGACGGGTCATTTAGAAAATCCTAATTAAGATAAATTGGCGTAAAGATTAAAAGATAAATTTTGTTAACCTGAACTTAAAGGTTCTTTCAAAAGAGTAGTTCTCAATTAAAAATGGAATATGAAGGTTGTTTTGCCGGGATTCAGGGATGGGGTGTAGGGAGTGGGGTCTCCTGGGACCCGGCGGGCCATGTCCCCAAGGACGGGGCGCGGGCGGGCGGCAACTTCGCATCCACTGGGACCCCACCACGCTGGGGGAGATCGTGATATTTTTAAACAATATCTCTCTTACACTCCTTAATCCCGCTTTTATATATTTTAATACTGTTTTCGGCGACTTGGAGTACGTGTAATTACGTGGTATATTAAATTTCCATCTTTACTATACAAGATTCAACCATTTACTTTAAAGTGGTTTTAGCGTTATGGCGAATATCTAATGTAAACCTTGTTACCATATTGCACAACTAGTGGATTTCGATTTAGATCATAAAAAAGAAGAAAATTAGTTACCAAGCGTAACTATGCTTAGAACACTTAATTATACATATATAATATATCTAAATCTTGGCCATAGGTCATTATATGATAAATGCAATTTCATTATTTTACAGGACAAGCAGTTAAATTATTAAGAAAATCTTGAAGGCACTATTTAAATATGAAACACTCGATATACGAATGAATGTACGTAATAAGTGTATATCATTGTCTGATCTATGACCAGTATTAACTACATCGTAATTTATGTACAAAAAATGGTGTAACAATAGATGAAGGCATCTTCCTATCTAAGGTAAGTAAGTGTAGTTTAATGTACCTAAAAGTCACAATATGATACAAACTTTTTAAATTTATAAAATCTTTAATATAATCCTACGATCCGGTCATTCAATGCGTCATGATAGTTAATATATTATTATCTAAACTCAAACCTACGACGTAGCACTTACGATCTTGGTATTAAATCCAGCTATTACCATGTTTTAATACCTATTTCGGTTACTTTTCAGCTTTATTATTGCGATCGAAACCAGGTCAGAAACCAGGTAAATAATAAATCGTAAGAAAGGTGTAAAAAATAGGCCACGAAATGTTACCGCGATTTAATACAAATTAATTATGTAATTACTTATTAGATTTTAATTAATTTAAAAGCGAATACACAATGAGGTTTTATACGTATTTGTAAATATGTCAGACCTCACGGTAGCGGTACCTTTATGGATTTTTTGCGTGAAAACACGTGAGTGATTTATTGTGCTCGCTTGGGAATGCAAAAAGAATACTTGACTGGTTTTACAGATTGCATTAATATATTTTATTTCATTTTTTCTTTGATATTTAATTTGAATATTAGTCCACAGACATCAAAATCCCCCATTAATTTAAAATAGAGAACGAGGCAAGTAAAGAGTATAGATCGTTATTTTTGAAGGGAAACCTTTTCTCCGGGGGGAAAAAAAAAATTTTAAAAATTTTTTTTTCCCCCCCCCCCCTCTTTTCCCCCCCCCCCCCTTTTTTTTTTTTCATTTTTTTTTCCCCCCTTTTTTTTTTCCTTCTTTTTTTTTTTTTCCCCCCCCCTTTTTTTTTTTTTTTTTTTTTTTTTTTTTTTTTTTTTTTTTTTTTTTTTTTTTTTTTTTTTTTTTTTTAAATAAAATTTTTTTTTTTTTTTCTTTCTTTTTAAAAACATTTTTTTTTTTTTCTTTTCTTTTTTTCCCCCTTTTCCTTTTATTTTTTTTTTTTTTTTTTTTTTTTTTTAAAATAAAATATAAAATTTTTTTCCTTCCCCCCATTTTTTAAATAAAACAAATTACCACATGAAATCACCAAGTCACGATGACAGTGTGTGAGATTTCAAATTTCATTTTCTTTTATGTGGGTTGGTACATCTCTTTGTAACGTTTACATGGCTGATTTAAACAGTTTAGTAGAAAAATAAATGCAACTTGAAAAACATCAAAATTATATCTATCAAGGTATTTAGTAATATTTTTATTCATAATTGAAAATTAAATGATTAGTGCATAGTAATAGGCTAGGTCGTAATCTACATAAAACTGTTATGATATGGCCTCACAGTATTTCCCAAAGGCGGGAGGTGCGCGCCACCCAAGGGAAATTTCGCGGGAGTCCTCAGCGGAGCCTGAACAAGTTTTATGGACGCGCAACCCACCCCACAACCTTATCGTTCAAGTCTTGCAAAAATCTAGTTTAATTATTAATGAAAATTCCCATCTTTCCCAAAGCACATTGGCATCGTATTTCGCGACTTTTTTAACAATTTCAAATATGTATATCGGGAAAAATAAATTATTGCCAGTGCCTATAACACATCTGAAATTTACTGTTGATGACTATAAACAACGAGGACTTAGGCAATTAAAACTATTTACTAGTATTTTTATCTTTGTTTTCCAAAAACAAAATTCTACTATTTTTAGGAAGATTTGTGAGCCTCGTGTACAAAGTATTAGTAGATTTAGGAATACACTTTGCCATTGTTCTCGTTATTAACAATTCAAGACGGGCCAATTTGTTTTTACAGCCAGACGGGGACAGCGAAGGATTAACGTTTTCAGTGAATGTAAAATTTTAATTCGATTACATGAGGGATCCTCACTGAAATTGACATGTTATTATACCCATGTGACTTACCTAGATTCAATACAATAAAATCCAAGGGAGGTAAATTTTACCGAATTTCTTCTATACTGATTGATACACCTAATGCTTTCTGCGGAGACGCAGTCGCGGAAGTAGTCTAACTAACTAGGAAATTAGGTAATGTTAAATGAAATAATCGCGCTGAAGAAGACTACTCAATTATAATCTGTAGTATAATATATATCTACAGATTATAATTGAGGCTAAAAAGTACGTTAATAAATAAGACCGTCAGCGTACAATTAAGATATTAAGATTCTATATTATTTTATACTGTTATCGGTATAAAATAATATATAATCTTAATATGTTTTAGTCAAGTATAGACGAGTGACCGAGAGGTATTGCATTAGGTATCCCTAGAGCCAACAGTAGTCGCAGCATCCCGCGCCACCCGCGGGACACATTACGAAAGTACTAGACTCTACTAGATCAATACCTTAAGTTAACAACATTATATCGTTCAAACACGTACATTGTTGTTTCTTTTATAAATTATAGTTTATTGTAACCATAGTGACATGGTAGATAAAGGACATAAATTCATTATTATAATAAATACGATTGTCAATTGGTGATTTTTTGTGCATTCAAATTTAAAATTTCAATTAAAAAGGATATACAGTGCTTGAATTGCTTATACATATTTTGGATAGCTCGCATCAAACAGATCAATTGTTAATATACATACATCTACATTGCATACCTGGTGTAAAAAACGAGAGAGCACGAAAATGTTTATGGGCTAAAAAAATTATCAACAATTTATATACATTTTTAGTTAATTATCAACGTCATGAATGTTGTAGTAAGTGCACGCTTGGACAAAATTAAACGAACTTCCGATGTGTGTGTGCCAAACCGCGACGCACGCCAGTCTCGTCGCTGATAAAACGTTGATATTAGGGCGCTACAGCCGCAGCACAGCCTGTCCATCACCCGCCACTTTAGACCTTCCGGTGACATGCTCGTTAATTTTTAGCCAGTTGCCGTTGGTAAACGCTGCAGCCTAAATGACAATGACATATTTCAACACTTCTTTGCACTGCGCCGTTTAATTACCTTTGCAGTATAACGCACGTTACATGAGTTAGAACTAAGGAATAGGTATTACTATGAAATTATAAAAAGCAAGTACGGCAGTACTTAATTATACATTTGATTTCGTTTAAAAACTGTATTTATGCACGAGCTTATTTTAATTTTCTAATATTATTGTTTTATAGCGTAGAACTAACGGGCGCACGACGTAAAATTATAATAAAAAAGGGCCGAGGATTTAATTGGTGGCAGTAATTTGATACTTACGTTTAAGAGACCTCGGTTTTGCCTGCTTTCGCCTGGACATCTCAATATTATGTTTATTTCCTTTTAAATCACTATAGTTGATTCTCTGCAATGTTCCCACATCTAAACCTCACTTTAGTGCATTTACAATCATTTAAAAACCGTTACACAACTTTAGAAACATATGAAAGTTTTTCGGAATAAGTACGCATGCTTTTCTCGTGAAAATTTCACTAGAAAACACAGCTTTCACCCCGCCAACTCTGAGCTTACTGGCGCCCAACAAGTGGCAATAACAATATTATTTCCTGCCGCGCAAACTCACATAAGTCGGAGATATCCGTATGTTTCTTGCACCCATTGCGTGAGTAAGGGTGTATTTAGGGGCATTGTTGTAATAAACATTCGAAATGTAGTTAGTGTAATTAAACTTTATACTACTACAAACATACAAAAACCATAATATTTTTATTTTGAAAATATAACCTTTTCAAAGAGTTGAGAATAGAAATTTTAGATTATATTATGTACGTACTTAAAGAATAGGGAAAAAATTTCCCCAAAATTCATTAATTAGCTAAATTAAACGAGTGTTTTAATATAGGTAATATTAATAATTTAAGTTGAATTTAATATATAATAATAATAAAATTAAAAAATAAATTAAAAGTTTCTTTATTCAATATAAAATATATATTAGTAGAAAAAAAGGTTACTAGAACTATGTACCAGGCTCCAATTTATTTTTCAATTAATAATGATTTACATGCAGAAGCGAGTGTATTAGGTATTCAAGATACGTAGTGTAAATAATTTTATTATTTATCATAATACTCATAATAAAACCTTTATTAATTAATCCTTATTTTATTATTTTACTTAATCGCTTTTCATTAAGAACTGTATAAGGTTGCTACTTACTAGTCATCTTATTATTTCTATGGTGGTTATTATTAGGTACAAAAAAAATGCCTTGAATCAAATGCATGTGCTCATTGAAAAATATAGTTTAGGTATAGAATTATATTGTACCATAATAAATAGCTTAGAAATAATAATATGACTAATTGCAAGCGATTTAATTTTAGTGAAATAAAGGGTTTTGATTCGAGAAGAAACATAACTTTCGATCCTAAAGACACACATAATTAATAACCAATTTTACAAAAACATAACTATTCCGAAACCCCTCTATAATAAACAAGCAATAATTATAAAATAACTTTTATGGCTTTAATTTTGAAAATATGTAGTAGCTTTCCAAGATTGAAGAGGATCACGAAATTCTGTTCTGTCTCAGTCTCGTCAGCTCGACGCGAACAAAATTATATATTTATTGGCTTATAAAGTTTTTTATATCCGACATTTTAAGGCGATTATCATTATAGTTGAATATATATTATAGTCTGTGCGATGAATACCAGCTGATTATTGTCATAATAGAACGCTGTCCGGCTGTCACAACATTAAAAATTTAATTGACGTTCGGAGTTCGGAGTTTTTGTTGATTGTTCAGTAATCAGTCCTATGACTTTACAATCATCATCGTTTCGGTTTTAAATTTTTATATAGTGTCATGCAGTTTAGATGTAAATATAAATGTTGTGGGATTTGACAACAAAACAAGCATCATAAGGTTGTATAATAAGATGTTTAAGGCAAGTTTAAGTTTTCCGTAAAAAGTTTAAAATGGAATTACCATACGAAGTGAGTACCTACTTGTGTTTCCTTCCGTATTGCAAAGTGGTTTTTCTTTGTTTGCCTATACTATTTTCACGTGATTTTTTACCACCTTGATACCTGCTATCGATTGACGTATCATAATCGAGATCTTCCGGTTTGAGATAAAAAAAAAACAAAAGACTTTCCATTTGTTGTTCTAAAATTACATTGCAATTAGAACTCAACGTCTAAAACGCAATGGACAATTTTAATGTTTTGTAATCTATATTAATTATATCTTAATAATCATAATTATTGTTTTTTCAACAGGTACTGGTGTACATATTTAAGTATTTACCCAAATCGGACCGAAAATCTGCAAGTGAAACATGTCGCTCTTGGTACTTAGCGGCTAACGATTATAGTTTCCTAAAAAATAAAACTGTTATACTATACAAAGCAGATTTAAATGATGAAATTTCTCCACTACAAATCTTTGAAGACTCTGATATTCTTTATGACAACTTTTTATTTTGTGAGGTTGAATTGTCCAATAAATTAAAAAACTTTTGGGATAGAAATGGTGTGAACATAAGATGCCTAACTCTACAAAACTGTGATATAAGAGAAAAAGTTTTTGTTAATATTTTACAGAAATGTTCAAACTTAGAGATTCTAAATATTGAAAACTGTAAAGACTTGTTTATGTCAGGATGCCTTTTAGAAGGAAAAACTGAAGGGCTACTCGCAACTAGTTTAAAGAAATTGAAATGTTTGAGTTTGTCAGGAAACCAATACCTTACAGATGCATTATTCAGCCGGTTTGTTGAGACAGCTCCTGAATTAGAAGAACTAAATTTATCAGGATGCTCACTGCAGTTTCATTTGGGTCTTGTTAAAAGATTCTATCCTCCGGGATCTAATATATATGATAATCCATCCGAGAGTGTCTTAACATTTTACTTTGTACATCAGTTTCTAACAGCAAGAGCTAAGAATATGAAAAGACTATTGTTTTCTAAGACATTAATTGATGGTGTAGCTCTTAAATCACTAGCAGAAACAGAACACCTAAAACTGCAATATCTTCAAGTACACTCTTGCGATCAACTTACTAATGTTGGCATATCTTCGCTATCAAACTATCAGTTTTGCTTAAGAGAGCTTGATATTGGACTTTGCACAAGAGTAACTGATCAGTCTTTAGTGTATATTTGTAATAATTTAGTAAATCTAGAATGCTTAAACATTCAAAGATGTAGAGCTGTTACAGATTTAGGAGTAGTTGAATTACAGAAACTAAAGAAGCTTAAGCAACTGAATATATCCCAATGTGATCTCATCAGCAAAGAAGGTATTGAGAAAGGTATCTGTTCTTATGAAAATACTATTTTGGAAGAGTTAGATATAAATTCTCTTAACTTGGAACAGAGTGGTTTGATTATGATTTCTGAAAAGTTACCTAATCTCCGTATGCTAGATATCAGCTATTGTTTCAATGCAGTGACAGACACTTCAATCCAACTTATTTTCAAGAATCAAATATATTTGCACACTTTAAAGTTAAGCCATTGTGATAAAGTATCTGATGCTGGCCTTACGGGTATGGGTAAAGTGGAAACAGAAGGGCAAGAAGATGGTAATATAACATCAAGTTATGATAGCTCCATAACAAACAACAAGATCTATCTTGGCTCGAGGGCTGAAGAAGAAATTGTGCGAGATGCCAGACGGAAATATGAAGTCATGCTTTTGTGTGAAAAATTATCCATGGAATCATATAGTGGATATTCTTTGGCACGCTTTAGGAGCCTCAGAGAGTTAAATATAAGTGGCTGTAATAGAATAACAGATGTAAGTCTAACATATGCCTTTTCATTTAAAGAACTTGTATGTCTTAACCTTAGCCGATGTCAACAAATAACTCATGAAGGGATAATGCATCTAGTCAAAAACTGCCCTAGTATTGAATATTTTAATCTGACAGACTGTTACAACTTAAAAGATGATGCTGTAATTGAAATTGTCAGAGGGCTCAAGAGATTGAGGCACTTGGAATTAAGGGTATGTATTGTTAAAAATTGACTAAAAAAACACTATTAGTTGGAATTTTGGTAATTAAATAATGTTTTATTTGTCAACTCAATTTTACCTTAAATATTTTTTTTAAATTACAGGGTTGCAATCAATTAACAGACACAACAATTCAAGGGATTATCAGTAATTGCAAGAAGTTAACATTTCTTGATGTTCAGGGTTGTCGTAATATGTCGGCAGAACTAGTTTGTACATTAGGAATGCAATTGCCAACCCTCCACACTGTACTTTTCTCAAAACCAGGTCCCTACATTGATGATGGCGTTAAAAATAGATCACCAGCACCAACTTTTTTACCTACTCTAATGCGTAAATTACGTATTCATTAGTTCAAAAATTCATTGAATTATAATGACATGCATGTGACTTTCATGTCTCAATTAAAAAATTGTACGTAGTCGTGATAGTGGACTAATAAAAATTTCTGGAAATTTTTGTCATAAAATGTAGCTAACGGATTTTATTTTTTTAGAAAATGTCTAAATAGACAAGTAATCTAGAAAAATTAACCACTCTAGAAAAGTTTTGTGCAATACAAATTAAACAAACTTTTGTGTGAATGTAAAAATTTTGTGTTAAAATATTAATAAAAGATAGTTGTATTTTTGTGGCAAGCTCCATGAAAACTTATACTCATATGATGAGAAATAAAGATTATAAGATATTCTTAACTGTATTTCAGAACATAAATATAATAAATTTAAAGTATTAAAATAATGATTCTAAGGTCTAATAAAATTCTCCCACATCAAACGAAATATAATCACTGTTCAAAATATTAGGAAACAGCATGAGTTCCCATTATAACCCAATACAAGTACAACTTTATTGCCAGTAGTCAATATTTTGTATGTCAATTTGGAATCATCCCCTGTTAAATGTATCTGAGGTATGTGGGCTCCATTTCAGGAACAGAGTACGCAGTACACACTAAAATTACCTCCGGTACTTCCATTTGAGAGGTCACTTTCGTATTTTACAGGGAAACCGAAGGCGAAATTCCTTAACTGGAAACGCTTATTTAAGATTAACTTTTAATTAATTAACAGTGTTAAAATTTTAAATAAATAATGGAAGGACTAATAAAACTCAATACTTGTTTCATTACATTATATTTAAAAATAACTAACTTAATTTATGCCTATACATCTGTATATTATACCAACAGCGTATTTTGTTCATATCTTTAGTAAGCTAATCATGAGATACAACAATTTTTTTTAATTAACACAAAATAAGAAAAGGTGTTTTCGTGTCATCTGAAATGATTGTCTATCAAATTAACGAGATGGCGCTATGAAAGTAATTCGTACACAAGTTTTAAACATATTTTTTTAAAATAGATTTATGAGCAATTTGATTTATTTGAGTTTAAGGCATCTTAAGATAAAATGTATTAGAATTTTTTTTTACATAATACTCATAAATATAATTTTATACACCATTATATACACGAAAATTACAGATAACATAACCAAATTAATTCAGATATAAACACCCAATAAACTCTTGAAATTTTAACAATGGTTGCAAATCAGAATGAAACATTCTTCTTACTATAGAACTTATAAGTAAAATCTTAGGGAATACAGCACAAACGAGCAGTTTCACTGCCAGACATTTCAGATATAAATGTATAAAACAACTGCCGTTACAAATCTATAATAGTACATAAATGCAAATAATGTAATTAAACGGAAAATGTACAAATCCCTTACAAGTAATATTAGAAACATGAAATACTTTAGTCCTGTATTTGTTGTTTTATGTAAATGGCACGAAATGCTCAATAATGCAATAATGTCTTGTTAAATACACATGTAGGCATAACTTACTCATGGCAAGTATTTTTCATATATATGTAGGAAACAATAACTGTTGCAATAACAGATAGCGCCACAAACTTTTCAATAGACAACTTCAAGAAGACGTTGCTTATAACTCCTTTCACAAATAAGATTTAAATTTCGTGCGTTCAAACGTGTCTCATTTCGATTATTTTAAATGTGGCTTATAATGGACTATTCTAAATAGCCACTAAAAAATTACAACATAGATACAAACTTTAGATAAAGTCCACATTTCATATTGGATGTATAAAAATAATTGTTTTCTTAAGGCCCCAGCAGAAATTTTAAAAAATTGTACTGTAATGCCTAGTACTATATCTACAAAAATCTATGCTAAATTAACAGTATGGTATTTACATCTAATAATCGGCACACGAATCTGAATAATAAATTCACTCAAAAAAATAACTTAGCTGAGAATATTTCGCATCGATAACCTATGAATATTCTTATTTTGTAAATGTACATGACGTGCCCAGTCTATAAACTCTCAATGCTGACGGTACGTATGTTATGCTTATGATATTTTTGAAAGATAATAAAGGCAATACAGTTTCTATGTTTAAAAAATTTAAGTAGGTATTGTGTGCGGTTTTCTTCAGTACTTCGCGATCACATTGAATTTTTAAAATTAATTTAGGCTAATGTTTCAAAACTGAAACTAGCCTATCTGTTTACATTGGATATTTTTCAAAGCATTTCTATAGAAGGTAATGCTAAATGAAATATGATAAGACTTTCTTACACTGTATATACATAAGTCTATATAAAGGAGGTGTAAAATTATAGCACAGTATTTCAGGACAGTATTTGTGTATACTAATTTGAGTACGAGATGTTCTTTCTCTTTAGTGCCTTCAAATTATCTGACCCAATAGTCAAAACTTTCACATTAAAAAAACAGATGGCGTTCGTAAGCACGCCACTGGCACTGGGTCAGATAACTTTTAGGTACTATACTAAGAACAACTCGTGCATTATGTTTTCAGTGTTTTAGAACAAAGGATGGCGACCGAAGTTCGATTTGCGGTGTATTAAGGGTGGATCTACTCGGGCTCGGTGACATGGAATTATCTGCATCCAAATCTGGTATTGAAATGTCTTCAAAGTCTGGAATATTCCCTGTATACGAGATTAACTGATTCCCTTCAGCTGAAAGTTGCCCAAGAAAAAGATTAGTATGTTATTAGTTTGACTACGCTATTCAACAGTCTACAATTAACCTATTATTGAGAGTGCAAAGACAATACTCATCGATATCGTGTCTAATACGTTGATACAAAACCATAAAATAAATATCCAAGCATAAATAGAGCTCTAATGCCATAAAAAAGTACACTAGAAATTTTCTCAATAAGTTAAAAATGTATCATTATTTTGGTTCACTCTGACTAAAGCATGCAAATATTGCATTGATTGGGTAGACTCAAACAAGATTATCGACACTAGACTATAAATATTTCAAAATAAACAATAGGGTATATAAATAAAAGCTTTCAAATATACTGAAAAGCAGGCTTAAGCATTATTTATAAAATATAAATGTCTTAAAGAATAACTCCCTTATTCATACAAACGAAATCTCCGGCTTTGATTGAAATAAATATAAAAATACCTTTGTTAACACAGTGCAATAACACTGAGTTTCTATGAATAAGGGCAAATTTGTAATACTATTATATAAAAAGTCAAAAATTTACGCTTTAATTATATTAAAAATTATATTTATTATAACCGCTGTATTTATAAACATAGATAAATACATATGTCTGTTAAAAAATGTAAAACGCTGTAGCTATTTAGTAAGTGATATCGATTTCACTACACATATAAAACCTTCCCCTAACATACCTTGGGCGCACATGCGTAAAAGCTAACTGAAGAGATGCTTCAGCAGCTGAAATGACATGCGCTTGGGCTTCTTAAGCTTAATACTCTAATTACGTGCAAATAAACCACATACCTACGCGATCAAATAAAATTATATAATAATAATTACTACCATCATCCTCATTGAAAGGGCTCTGGACGCGAGTCTCGTCACAGGTTACATTTGAAATCTCACCTTTCATCTTCTTCGCTTTAATTAACAATAAAAACAATTAACATAACCCCACTAAATTAACCTTTGAACTTATAACTCTTAGAACTCTAGCCTATGTGACAAAAGGATGTGTACAGATAATAATCGCACATGTTTATGAAACCTAACTTATGTCTACAAAGTTCACCAAGAATTAACATCCGATATAGGACCGTGCGGCGTCAGGTGTGATAATCTTGTGAGATGAAGAAGTTACTTTGCCGGTTGTGATGTTTCGCTGTTACCAATCAGCCAATCAAAATCAATCATCGGAAACTGTTTGGATGTATCTACAATTTAACATAAAAACAGCTGAAATAAACTAAACAATACTTTTTCCTTCGAGGATAAGATCGTTGATCTGGAAAGTTCTGAACCTGTTATTGCAAAAAGTAGGCCACACGTATGACATCAATAATAGTTTTATACAAATTTAGAGATCTTGACTTCCAACATGTTTCTCATAATTAATTTACAATACCAGCTATCCACACTATATTCATTTTAGGTATTACGATATGAAAACTAAGACCACAATGAATGTTCGTATATAAATTGCACAGTCAAGTCACATACCGTCTTACTTACCATTGGTAGCTTTAGCTCGCTCATCGGTTGCATTGTAAGACAACCCGTAGAATGGGTCATCTGATCCAAACAACTGAAAAATTAAAGTAAAACATTTTAATCATTCACAGTCCATTTGCATTACGACCTTTACAAAATTTATTACAGATCGTAAAATATAAATTAATATAGTTCAAAATCTGTTATTACATGTCCATTTTGTATGTGCTCATTCAAAGATGGGTTGAAAGACATCGTTGTCTGCAAGCTTGTTTCAGGAGTCTACGGACAATAGTACATACGTCACTTAAATTCTAATAAAATAGCCGTCGAAATCCTAGTTGTATTAGACAAAAATATGTTATTTCTATAACACTTATAGGTCTTGACCGATACAGGTCCTATTAATATTAGTCGTGAAGTTGGTTATATGGCTGCTACTTCTGCCCCCTTCAAGTATCCTATATAAGAAGACACCTAAGACCTTTAGTTATACACATGAGATACTGCCGTGCCATATTCCTGTAATATTTATTGAGACGTGCAAGTTTCACAATTCAATATTATAATTAAAAACAAAACTTGAAAATGTTCTGTACACCTAATCTCATATTATATCTCGTATATAAAATTGGAATACCAAAACGATTCAAAATCTCCGATAAAAGTTCAATCAAGACCTGTATTGTACAGGTCAACTGAACAAAGCTTGTGTGGATTCTAATATATACTGTTTACTATGAAGCTTAAGTTAATTGCCATTATATTCTATCTCTTTTGCGCCCTTCTGCGGTAGCGAACCCTACATTTTTGTATGAATGTTTGATGAAGTTCTCTCAATATCCCTATCGCCGATGTCGCAACCTTGGAATCTCGCAAAACAAAATCTCATTATTGGGATTGGGATCGCTGACAGTTAGGTTACGGGCCGCGCAATCACGCAAATTTACTCGTCATCTTATATTCACCTGTTATTCAAAATTAGTGTATGAACTATTCGAGTAAAACACTCTTGTGGTATAATTAAAGCACACTACTTTTTTACGTAAATATGTAACTGTTGCATAAACTACAATTATTAAATAAACGAAAAAAGTATCTTAATGTTACGATTAATTAACAACATGCAGTATAGAAATATTAAACAGACACACTAATTTGTGAATGTCTATTTTTGTGTAGTATCGATTATTAAATACCAAAATCCCTAGATAATATTCTAAAATAAAGTATGTTTTATATTTTATTTAAATAAAGCAAAATCTAATTATGCATTGCACAGATTATATCGACGCAACCCTAATCAATCCACACAAAAATAAAATGATATAAATACTATCTATATCGATACGATAATTATATGTACAACCCGATCGCGGGACAACAACATGGGCGAGAGAGCGGTGTGAGGAAGTGGAGTGGTAGTAGGTCGCACAAGGCTTCGCACGCGGCCCCTACACGTTAGGTGCAACGTGACTCGCCCCAGGAGCGCCAACATCACCGCGTAATACGTCACTGTTTACACCGGTGCACGTTTGTGTGCGTTATGTCAGTACTCGGCATTCGCATTTCGCAATCACACTTCATCTTGAAATAAAGGCGGCACATCGAAATTTTTGTTGTGCAATTTATAAAGTAGTATAGACAAGGATAATTACTATCACTAAAACTTACCGAATTCTTACTTAATAACAATTTGTATTATAACTAATGTACTGTCTCAAATACAAATACATACAGATATTTTTCGTACACATATATATGTTAAAGATACAAAATGTAAAAATATATAATTAAATAATATACATAACACTTACCCCTAGCAATGTGTTGGTGTCAAATGAATAAGAATCACTTCTTAAGAGATCCCGCAAAGATTCCAGATCAGTTTGCATTGTGTCTAAATGGTCATCAATATCGTTCCTAAAAAAAAGAATAACTTATATATTTGTATGTATTATTTAATTAAGTATCAACAACATTTTTAACATATGTAAAACCTACCAAACATTTTAAAGGTCAGAGTATTGTAAATACTTGTTGAATTTGATTCAAAATTTGAGAATTTTGTACTAGTGTCAATAAATATTTAACAGCAACACATTTTCAAATAAATAGCATTAGTTTTTACATACTTGTTTGAATTTGATGCGAAAAGAGAATAATCCTCTCCATTGTGGTTGTTGTTATCCCTCCTATACCTGAATATTGAAATTTTCTATTATAAATATTGCATGAAGGATGATAACAAATCAGTTGTGTACTCTTATTTTATTTGTCTCCCTCAGACCATCATAGTAATTGATGATGAACCAAAAGAAACACTAAAAATACTCACATTGTTTGTAACTTATTGAGGTTTGGATTGTTGTGTACTGTAGCCAAGGTCATGTTATTCCAATCAAAATCATCTTGAAGTTCAGTCTTTATATCAGCTAAATTAAAATTGTTTGTATTATCTTTGGATTTCTTAGCTTTTTTCTCTGTACTACTTGGAACAGGCTCAGCCCTTTCAACCTTAATATTAATTCCTCCTAGCAACTTGTCTTTTAATGTAGACATAACTAAATCGTTTCCATTAAGTTCATTCAAATTATTTATGTCATCAGTCCCACCAGCTCCAGCATCACTTATAGAATCATCACTTGCAAATATTTCAGCAGGAAGCTTAAAATCAGCAGATGGATTTATAGTATTATAATTGTTTAATGTTATGTTGTTGATATTCTTTGTGTGAGACACATTTTTCTTGCCGGTTTTTGTTTTAGGTTTTGAAGTGCTTGGTACAGTAACAAAAATTTGTTCCATTGCAGATTGACCTATTGGAGATGCAGAAGTAATTGTAGGTGATGGTGAAGTTACAATTGGTTGAGCGTTGGGACTTCTTAACATGCCATTGGTAAAATTGTTGGGATACCGTAGTCTTATTCCATCTAAATATGTTAAACGCAGAAAAGGTAGAATGTATTTTTAACAAAACATTAACATATAAATTTGATTTAAATTGTAATATACATATATTAAAATATAACCTGTTTCAGTATCTTCATCGTCCTCCATTGTAACATGGTATTGAGTGGGTAATGTTGCACCATCAGTATTGCCAGAATTGATAATAGGTACAGATGATAAATTAACGGTTACAAAGCCAGTTGCATCTAATGAGTCTTGTGAAGCATCATTATTTAGAATATCGTCATGTGCTAATTCATGAATTGTTGGTCCATCCTCCTAAAATATAAAATAACATTTACAGTTATAAAAATCTGTTTTTTTTATTTAACATTTATGTATTTATAACATACAGTATAACAATTAATATTACAAACCAAATTATCCTCATTTGTCTCTTCTAATAAGTTTTCTTTATCTAGTTTAATATTCTTAATTGTCCCTGGGTATGCATCACTGACATTGTGAGCTGCACTGTTTATCATTAATTGATAGGGTCTCTTTACACCTACATTGTTACCACTAGCCGCTGGTGCTCTAGCTGGCTGAACTAGTGACATTAAGAATTGAATCAACTGCAAATAAAATTAAGATTATGAACAATATTATTGAGTAAATTAAAATTACAATTTATGGTATGTTACCAATTTTACTGACATTGTTTACAATTTGTTGTTGTTTTATATGTTTCTGTCTAAGTATGGCTACTTCCCTCCATAAAGCTTCATTCTCCTGTTTCATTGCACTAAATTTTGCATCTAGACTTTCCTGTTTTCCTTTCATTTGTTTAACATCAGCTAACACTTTATTCATAAGCTCTGGTTTTATTATAATTTTTTCCCCACCTTCACTATTTGCAACAATTGATTTAGGATTTGCAATCTTTCTTTTGATGTGTTCAAGTAAATAAGCGTGACCTCTCATGAAGCAAGGATGTGAAAACTCAATTTCATCTTTCTCATATCTCAGGCCCCCATTTTCAACAGATGTAATTTTATGAAAACCATACATATTTAGCTGTCGAATGAAGCTTGCCATATTATTGTGCTTATAGTATAAAGGTAGCAACTCCCGGGCAAAATCAGCTTGATTTTTTATAACAAAAGTCTTTCCTCCCTAGAAAATGTACAAATTCATAAAATTATATAAACTAATAAAACGCATAATTTAATAAGAATTTAAATTCTACAAAATTAATTGTTGCCTTATATTTCTTTAGTTTTAATAGCTATATATGAAAACAAATGTCTTTTAACAACACTTAACTAAAAATCAAATATGTATAGAAATAATCTAGTATCGCTGCTTTAGAAGTCAGAAAAAGTGATCTTTTAGATAATTCTTGTTTATTAGCATTTCCAGTCCTTAAGCATGGTATAAAACGTGACACGAAACTATTTATTTATTTCATTCCCAATGACGTTGTTGTCGTCACCTGGTTGTCATAAATAGAAAGGATGTACTTTTCAATAGCTACTATAAAAAAATATAGACTGTTTATTTTTCTTTGTAACTACTTAATGTTTTATATAACAGTTTTATGGTTTATTTACAACAGAAATATGCTTACAGGACTCCACGATATCAGATGGTTGGTCTCTGAATCATTGACCAGTTTCCACAATTTTCCCAAAAAAGCTGGGACACTGGCTCCTATTTCTACTACAGAACGCATTTTGAATACTTAAAACTGTATATAACAAAGTATTTGAATAGTATTTTTAGTGTAAATTATTTATTTTGATGAAATACGCATAACTATGCACGATTCGCCATTTAATACACTTAACACTCACACATTAACAAAAAGTCATACCTGGTCTACACACAACTATCTGTCAATGTACATTGTACCATTCATCTACCAACAAAAACGCAATTTTTTTTTTAAGTTACATTATTATATTGGAACTTTCTATGCTCCTGAAAAATACAAATGTTTCGTCCTTAAAAACAATTCAATTTATTATTGAATAAAATTAAATTTAGCAATAGAGTTAAAATTTTTACGCTATATTCTCACTGACGTTTGTGAAACCTTGACAGCGACATAGTTGATAGCAATAAGAAATACAAAAGTTGTCGGTTGTCACTTTAAGGGGGTAACATAACATACAATTTAATTTTAAAAAGTTACAATCATATGCAACAGGTTGAAATAAATTAGCAGCGCGGCAACATGGGATGTTTAGGTATTTATCCATGTTTCTATACTCATTAGTTACAGTGAAATCCCGTGGCGCGACAGCGTAGTGGAAAAGGGTTATGTATAATGTAAGATTCGCTACTGGGAATACCGTGTATACCCACATAACCGCAAGGTACTACGACCATAGGCGATATGCGGTAACAGCAGAGCCTTATCTGCTCCTAGACACCTATAACGACTCTACGTCCGCTTCTGCTCGATCAATTTGTTTCATCAAAAACATAGCAGCCCCCTTAGATCAGGGTCGATAATTTTTGGAACAACAAAAATAATAGTAGGATGAACACCATTGGAAAAGGAGGAGAATATTATAAAAATGAAAGGAAAAATAATTTACGGGTGATCCCGTATTACAAAATTAATTCAAGTCCAAGCTTTATTATCTGTTACTGTCATATCTAATTCTGACATTAGAGTAAATGTATGTATTCATATTGATAAATGACAACTCTATCCTGGGGCCTTAGTCAAGATGCCTTAACAGTAGTGTATGTTGAAAGTCAGAAACGAAATTTGTATGAAACTTTTCGACACGAACTGTCATTTCCATACAAATTTAGTTTTCGACTTTCTACATACACTACTGTTAAGTCATCTTGACTAACCCCCCTGCTCTGACACTCTGCGCCCGACTGCCGAGTGCCGACCTGTGCGGACGTCTGCTCCTGCCATCGCGCCATCCTGCTGCCATCTCGCTCACTCGCTGTGAGTCATCGCCGCTTGCCGCTGTACAGTGCGCACGCGCTGTCCGACTGCTGCCTTGCTGCCCGCTGCCCTCTCATTGGTCGCTTCGCGTCTCGGTGATTGGACATCGCGTTTGAAGGCTGCAATTTATGAGCGCGGGTTTACCTGCGGCCGTCCGATAGCCACCTAACGGTGCCAAACGGTTATCGAACGGTTAACGCCTTGTGCGGGTGTTTTGTCCGGGGTGCATACACCGTGCCTTTTTCAAGGCGCGAATCAGCCCCTCCGCTTCCTCCAAGTCCTGTGCGCAGCCGGGCCTCTTAGTAGGCACTTATTAGGGAGTAGGCACGCCAACTACTCTCTTGAAACCGGCTTCAATCAGGTCCACTGTTGGACGGGTCCTGTCACATCCGCAGGGGCTCTATTTACCCAAACTCCTGCGGGCTGGTTAGGTCTGTGACAAACCTCACCTCCGCTATCACCAGCGGAGACACATACACCTTAGGGCAAACCACAGCTTAGGTACTCACACACGTAGGCTTACAGGTACACACTCGCCGCCAAACTGTCTTGCTTCCCGCATACAGGATGGCGTCCGAGGCTCAACCCCCCGACGATGTAAGAACATTCTTAAACTTTTTAAGAGATAGATATCCGGATATCATTACGGAATTTTACGAGTCGCAATGTGCGGACTCACCACGCTCGCCGTCCCCGTCGCCGTTTAGGACGGAAAATGCCTCCGCGAAGGCACCGCGGAAAAATAATAATAAAACCTCACCCGACCAAACCCGCCCTCGCTCGCGCTCGCGCTCACCACTCTCCGAAGTGGAAAGCGTAAGCGATGAGGAGGCGGAAAATCTAGCGCGTCCTTTGTCGGCAATGTCGGCCCAATCCGCTCCGGAGGAAACGGTTGACGAAGCCGTTTTATCTTCATCCTCGGAATCCGACGGATTCCAAACCGTCGGACGTAAGAAAAAGCGTTCGGCTAACGGCGGCCCACCCGCGAAAAGGCCCACTCAGCCGACAAACCCTCCGAAGAGGGATTTAAGTTCGTTGTTATCGGACAAGTCGGACAAACCTGCGCCCTCCGCCCCCGCGGACCGCATCAAAACCCCCCCGCCCGTTTATGTTAGGGACAAGGGCGTATGGCCCACCCTTTCCAAGCTTCTCGACTCAAAGTCGATCAGTTATAAAGCCCGAACTTTGAGGGATAACATTTGCATACAGGTGTCCACACCTGAGCACCACCGGTTCCTTACCTCTTACCTTCGTTCCGAAGGTATCGGAGGTCACACTTTCCCCTTGCCCGAGGAGCGCGTCCTTAGGGTAGTCATCAAGGGCATCCCGAAGGAAATAGACTCCGGGGTCGTCCAAATAGATCTGACCGAGCAGGGATACCCCGTAAGGGATGTATTCCGTATGCTAAACCGCTCCACCAAAGAAGAGTACGATATGGTACTTGCAGTCTTAGACCCTACTCCGAGTGGGAAAAAGATTTTTAACCTTCGGGAGTGCTGTAAGCTCTCGGGGTTGAGGGTTGAAACTCCCCTCAAACACTCTTTTACACGGCAGTGTCATCGCTGCCAACTCTACGGGCACGCAGCCCGAAACTGTTTTGCGAGGGCGCGGTGCGTCAAGTGTTTAGGCGACCATGGCACCTCGGACTGTAAGCGGACACTCCCGTGCGCTGAGCCGCCGGCGTGTGTGCTTTGCGGGCAACATGGGCACCCTGCGAATTATCGCGGTTGTCCTAGAGCCCCCAAGGCGCATAAGCCGCCGTCTTGGCGCATGGTGGGCCGCGACGCGGCCCGTCGTGGCACGGGAGCAAAGCCCTCATACGTGCCGGCCCCGCCTCCCGGTATTAGTCCATGGGCCAAGCCCTCCGTTACGGAGGGCCCTCCCCAACTCACGGCAGAAGCCTTCCCGCCTCTGCCATCAAAATCGGCAGCCGCAGCGCCTTCCCAGGTCCCTGCGCCAATCCCTATCTTAAAAGAGAGGCCCACATTAAATGCGAGCCCTCCCACTAAAGCCCTCAGCCCTCCCATGAAGGCAACTGAGGAGTCAGGCAGCGTCCGCGACGCTTTTAATCTTGCGTTCAGCGTAATAGACGCTATAGACTTAGACGCACTCGTCGCATTCGCGGAGGCCTTTAAGTCCGCCAAAACTGCGTCCACCAAGGTGGAGGTAATAACCGAGCACGCCCTGCTCCTTAAGTCCGTGCGGCAATTTGTGGAATCCGGCACACCGCAATAGTTACGACCATATTACCCCTTCCCGACACAAAAGGCTCTTAGGAGGCCCAGGTACACTTACACACTAAAGGATTCGGATGATCCAATTATCGCAGCTAACACATTAAATTAAAAGCCGCCCGCGCGGCCAAAAATAACAATCAAGTATTCAGACACAGATTAGGGTCAAAAACCGCCTTCACCGGGGAAGGCGAGGACCTCTACTTCGCACTTCGCTCACTCCAGTGAGTTTCCGTCCTGCCCTTCAGGCGATTGACCACCCCGCGACGGCCCAAGCCGAGGTTTGAGTCTCACAGGAGACGCCCTTGCGCTAGTCGCGGGAAAAACGCCATTCTGGCCGAGCTACGCTCGCCAACCAGCCCGAGCTGAGCTGTAAAGGCCGTAAAGGCCAACAGCGAGATTCCTTTCAAAAAAAAAAAAAAAAACCCCTGCTCTATCCGCGTCAGTAATGTATCTGTGATAGGTGGAATATCTACGTAGAATAATACGTATTACGATTTACGTATAGCAATAGCTTATTGTCTATGCTACCCGGTCTTGTCCGATGATTTGGTGTTTTTAATTCTTTCTAATAGAAAGTTGCTAAAAAAACTACTTAATTGTTTTTAAGGAGGTATAAAAATATATAACTGTATATTCTTCCCAATAGGTGCGTTAGTAATTCCAATTTTAAATTTGCTTGCACGAGTCAATTAAAATTCCTTTTACAGTTTCCTCTGTGACCTTTGCCTTTATTTGTTCATATTCAATAAAGCCAGTGTCCAGCAGTTCATGCTACCGCAATAATAAAGTGATTCGGTATTTTTTTTAAGATGGAGGTATGTACAATTCTATATTTACTCCTCAATATTTGTATTGATTTAAATCATAAACCATCAAAATTATTTTGTTTTAAGCTTGAAATCCTGAGTGTGTCTGGATCAAAACCTATTGGAAAGATAAATGTAAACGATTCTGCCACTGTAAAAGACGTTAAACTGAAGATTTATAAAAATTTAAAGAAAAACCTTTATCCGGACAGACAATCAATAAAAACTGAGTTAAAAGGTAAATCATTAAAAGATGAGGCTACATTACAGTCTTTAAACATAGTAAATGGTGCCAAGCTCTATCTTCAAGATCTTGGACCTCAAGTGTCTTGGAAGAATGTATTTTTAGCTGAGTATGCAGGCCCATTATTTGTGTACCTTTGGGCGTATCAAAGACCATGGCTTCTGTATGGAGAGCAAACTTCGACACCTGGAACTGTAGCAAGGTAAATTTAGCATAGCTTTTTGATATTTATTTATATTATAGCAAGAGCTATAGCTATAGCAATCTGAGTTAATCGAAATAGTTTTTTTACTGTCAAAATATTGCATAGTTTTGGGGTTCATATTCAGAGTTAAGACTTAAGATAAAAATATGATAGACTTTCTCAATTTATTTTACATTTTTACATATTGTTTACAGTATTGCAGCTATTTGCTGGTCAGTGCACTATGCTAAGAGAGTTCTAGAAACTTTGTTTGTTCACCGTTTCTCACATGGTACTATGCCCTTAAGAAATTTGTTTAAAAATTGTTCATATTATTGGCTGTTTGCATTATACATTGCATATCACATTAACCATCCCCTATACACAGCACCGAGTAACATTTGTGTTTATGTTGGATTAGTTGGATTCACTGTAAGTATATTACTCAATACTTTCCTTTTTTTAAATGTTATATTTACATTTTAATCAATATTATTCATAAATTTATATTAAATTAATTAATAAAATTAATCAATTTGGAACATTAATGTCTAAGTTTAACAATATGACACATGTTTTTTTAATGTATGTAAATTGCAAATAAATAATTTTTGTATTTTGTCTCTAGAGGATCTGAATGTTAACAATAATAATGTGTATATTTGATTTTAGTCTTTCAATTCTATATTATTTGAGATTTTCAAAATAAAATTTTGTACAACATCATTTTAGATTTGTGAATTGGGTAATTTGAGCATCCATATTTTGCTCAAGAACCTCCGACCACCTGGCACCAAGGTCAGGCGCATTCCTGTCCCAGATAGCAACCCTTTCTCTCAACTCTTCAACTTTGTGTCATGCCCTAATTACACTTATGAGTTTGGATCATGGCTCTTCTTTACAATCCTGACCAAATGTGCTCCAGGTATGTTCTACTTTCCTTTTTTTTATTAAACACTTTTTACTACACCATACTCGAAGGTAAAATATATACTAAGGTCATCTGCACAGACAAGTAGCTGAAGTACCATTCCAGCAAATATTGCAATTATTATTGAATTTTCGTACTGGTAACTAATAAACCAGACACAATTTTTTCTTCTCCTAATATAGAAGAAAATTTTTTTTAAAGAAACCATTTATTTGTGTTATGTTGACATCGGTAACCGCACAATGGGGAGGAAATTTAGTTGCATGTATTATGTGACTTATGTGGTTGACAACACATCTTCGATTTCTTGTTCTAGGACATGATGCTTTCATTCGCCTTAAGCCCATATAATAAATCCTTTAGAGCACATCGTTAGAGTGAAAATCTTAACCAATAAGCTAATGCTGGTCTTAATATGCTAATATGTACATATGCTTTCTTTGCAGCTGGTATATTTGCAGTGGTTGGTTTATACCAGATGTCAGTATGGGCTCTTGGCAAACACCGCAACTACAAGAAGGAATTCTCTGACTACCCCAAGGGTAGAAAAGCTATCTTGCCTTTCATGCTATAAAAACATAATTGTGTAATCTAAAGTTACGTCACATTTTAAGGTCAGCAACATACAAGCGTAAAGTACGTTTACTTTATTAAATGTGAATGTTTCTGGTAGGCTAACTTTTTTTAATAATTTATTCCTTTAAGTTGTTGAAGGTGAACAAGTTCGTATATTAATGCTATTATAATAGGGTTATTGGTAAGACTGTTTATTAAATGGTGAATGTTTAATTTGGGATTATTTTTTGTTAATGTTTGACTGTTATTTTCCGCTCAATTTATGCATTTGTTGTTTTGTTCTATACATAAAAATCTCTGTTGGAAAGATTTAAAATATTTTATTCCCGCGAAAACCAGAAATTTTATTTTTATTTAGCAATATTTAAATAGGGATTTTTATGAATATGACTTAATATTTAATTTAAATAAAATTATAGACTAACGGAATTTGTTTCATTTAATCAAATTATTAATAACAATAATTAAAATTAAATATTCAATTTACTGAATCCCCTTGAGCGCCGGCTTCCTCATCTTTCTGCGTATCATCATCTAAGCATCGCATTTTTCCAAGTAATCGTTCATTTTCTTCTTTTAAAGCAACAATAATTTCTTCTCTCTCCTTGAGTTAAAAAATAAAACTGGTTAATTACGCCAAACTTAAACAAGTATCGTGATGGAAAGGGCTGGCAGTGGTCTCGTGTAAAGATCCCACGGCTATAATAATAATTATGTATTAGATTTATTTTAAACCGAGTTTTCCTACGCATTTATATATAATAAATTTTAACTAAATTATTACGTGATTAATTGACATAACGATTATCATGCTAATTACATTTTCAAGGTTTTAGTAATATACATTTTCCAGTATTAACATAGGATTCTTAAACTGAGGTCAACCACGACCGTTAAACGTGATATTCTTTTCCTCAATATATATTATGTTCAGGAAGTACAACTACAAAGTTGTATTTGTGTATTTACATTCATAGATTTATTTTTCATAAAAATAGGTAAAACCTCTATGGTTAGCTACTTCATATTTTCTCATCAATCTTGTGTCACTTTACGAATGAGACTTAACATTTATTTATTAACAATTAGTCCATTTAAATGTTACAATTTGAGGGCCAAACTGAACATATGTTAGGGGACGCAATTTTACTATGAATATGCTTTCGTTATATTTTTTGACAATACTGATGGCAACTCGGCAACAAATATGAATTTATATCTTTTTTTTTTTCAAACTTTTCGCCAATTACTAGACCTGAACAATATATTAAGCCAAATAATAAAAATATAATAATAAATTAATTAAGTATTTAAAAATCTAAAAGTCATTAGTATTGTGGCATTTACCTCGATTTTCTGTTTGAATCTATCATCTAGTTTCTCCCTATCTTCTGTAACATGCTTTAGTTTAGATCGAGCAGTGGCAGGAGGAATGTACCTCGCAGATAATCCCAATATAGATTCCATTTGGAAACAACGCGTCCGCGTCGATTTCAGTTCCGTACGTAGGTTGTTTATTTCCGTGAGTAGGGTACAGTTTTCCTGTACCAAAATTAAAAAAATAATATTATATAGAAATAATATCTTATCAAGGTTAAGATTGCGCATGCTCATGGAAAATAAAAAAAATACATTTCTGTCATCCGCCAAACCGCACTTGTCCAATGCAATGGGATAATTATAAAGGCTGTTGACAATCTAAATGCCATATTTGTAGAAAACATACATATAAATTAAAAAAAACATACGAATATAATTTACTGCCAAACAGTATTTTCACCAGAAAAGTTGCAGATTAGTGCTTTTTCTCATGAATACGGGGGTCTATTTATGAGTAATACTTACGTCCATTATCCTTCCAATATCACTTTTAGAGCCATCTAGAGATTTTGACAGTTGCATTTTAAGCGCAGCAACTTGTTTTTCTAAATGATCTCGTTGTCTATTAAATTCACGTATAGCTTCATCTTCAGCGATGCGACTGCGCACGAAGTCTATGTCTTCTACATATTTTTGGAACAATTCCTAAAAAGATATAAAATAGGCCATAATATACTACATAGTTATACATTGTTTATACCAACTTCTGGATTACACTATAGACGTACTAAACAAATATTATGCTATTTGAACGACTTGTTTAAATTGAAGAAATTGTTTTTGTATTAGGTCATTTATTGAGTAGGTAAGGCACAGCTTCTAAATTAAGTCATCTATATGTAGCCACTTACCTAAGTCACAATCTGAAAGTAGGAAATAAAGTTTTTTGGTAAGAATTGATTTTTATTTTACAAGACATCTTTAATAAAATATAGCTAACCTTCACACTCAGTTTCAATTTCATAGGATCTTGAAAATTGGCAGTCATATTATGGAGATCGATTTTTATTTTTTTGAGAGTATTTTTTAATGTCAAATTCCTTTCAGCCTCAGTTGTGAAGTCCTTTTTAGCTGATGTTAACTTTTCGTTTAATTGAGAGATCTTGAGTTCTAAAATGTTCAATATGCTATAAAATAATAAGCTATGTAAAATATTCCTTAGTATTTTTTTATTTCGCAGCTGTTAAACAAAAAATATTACGGTAATATAGGCAATTAAATTTTTTAAATGTGTATGTTATTTAAAGCGTGCGACACGTAGGTGCTTGTTTCTATTTTAAAAGTAAATTGAAAGTGTCCTATACAGGATATTAATATTAAATGTGCATTAAACGATCTTATCTAATTACTAAAGCACCTACTTAAATTATCATGAGAATAAAAATCAAAATATGATAGAATAAGATAACTTATCACAAAAAATAATGTAACTACACTACAAATTATCATTTAAAAACCTTAATCTATTAAATCGATGTCAAATAAGGAAGAAACAAAACAACAATGTAACGTGGGAAAAAAATGAACGCAAATAAATTACAACTGAAAAATATAATTGTTGTTAAATTACCGCGGAAGTCCTTTTGCTTTAAAAGTGTTTCTAACGACACCTCCAAATCAAGAATACGCATCTTTTTCTCTTTGATCTCGCGTTCTAACGGGGCAATCTAGAGAAATTTAAATTGTTATATTTTGCAGCTGTAATTTTAATGAATAGGTCTATCATATCATACCGAGGTCGTGTTTAACATTAAGTAATTTTAATTCTTCATTCTCCATATCTTGTATTTGCACTTTTAATTCACGTATAGCACGCTCTTTTGGTTCAATCTAGATATTTTAGAACAGTATGAGTACCTCAATATATTATTGATTAACACTTTTTTAAAAGACTAAGGCCTCTGTATATAAAGTACCTACGTTTAGAATTCCATAAATTGACTTATGGAATTCATTCTAATCGAAAAAGATTTTTTTAAGGCAGGCGAGGTTTTGTCACTAACGCATCATAATCCAGAGGGCTGCACTCAACTTACTTCATACCCGACGTTTACGGAACCTGATTTCACTATAAAGTGACTTTAAATTGCCATAAAGCCAATTAAAAATCAAAATCTAATCTCCAGACATGTCAAAATATTAGGCTTAAGACCGTAACAGTATCATGAAAATATGAAATATGAATGTAAAACAAAAAAACTAACCTGATTTTTAAGTTCGGTAATCTTAAAGTTCAATACAAATTTGTATTTTTCCAGTTCCTGCTTTTTACGTTTTAACTCGTAGATTCTCTTTTCCTTGTCCTGTATTGTACTGTCCCTTTCTGCTATTTCTTTCTTTAAATCCGCAACATCTCTTTCCAACGTCGATATCACTTTTTGAAACTGCTTATGTTCAGCTGTAAAATATATTAGTTGTTATATACCTTTTTAATTATTAAAGCTCATATTTAAAGGGTTATAGCTTTGTACGAGTTCAAATAAAGTATCAACAGTGTAAAGTACTAAGCAGTCAACCGAAACCATGTTTTAACGTAAATTCGCTTCGAATAAATTATATCGAAATATAATATACCGAGTAAGCGATTAAATAATTGTGAAAAATTCATTACCCAAGCTAAGAGTAGAAGAAGTAAGTACCTGATGATTTAAAATTGTATCTTTAGTAGCTTTTTTTATACTTAATACAAACTATTCTTGTTATACTCTTCTTAATACCTGTTCAATACTAGACAGAACATTCTATGTCGTTCACAAATATAATAGTAATAAATATACTTATATACCTTTAAGCTGCAACACTTGGTGTTTAAAGTCATCGATTTCCTTATGAGCAGTGATTAACTTTTTCTTCATAAGCCCTGTCTCCCCTTTAAGACGCACATTTGCGTCTTTCTCCTCTTTCAGTTGCACTTCATATGCGGTTCTTATTTCAATAATTTCACGATCAGCATCCTCTTCTATCGAACCTTTGATCGTTTCGTGTTCCTTTTTTTCCATGTCCGCTTGTTCTTGTAACTGACATATTTTTTAAAGTTTTATCTTATTTTGAAATGTCATACAAAATATAGTCTATAGAACAGCCATAGTGTATACATGGGAAAATAATTTTTTTTTTTACCTAGATTACATTCTATAATCTATAATATTCTATATAAAATATTTAGTCAATACGTTTTAGCCAATAAAAGCGGATAATTAAAGTGTCCTGAAACCTTATTGTCAAACCATGAACTAATTAGCAATCGCAGATACGTTTTACCGAATCCCCGTTCAACGTAATATTATCATTATAATTATGTATACTAAAAAGCCGATACAAACTCAAATTCCGTTCGTCCGTTGGTAGATTAGAGACTTAGATAAGGTCACTAGGTGACTGAGTGAATAGAGTTTTGATTTTTGTTGTGTATTAATTATTTTTGTATAGATTTTCCTGACAATAGCGATAAGGTGGCCGCCAAATTAATTTAAGTTCTCTGATCGTTATATGTAGTTAAGTATTAAATATAATAGAGCAGTGTTGGCCTAGTGGCTTCAGCGTGCGACTCTAATACCTGAGGTCGTAGGTTTGATCCCCGGCTGTGCACCAATGGACTTTCTTTCTATGTGCGCATTTAACATTTGCTCAAACGGTGAAGGAGAACATCGTGAGGAAACCGAAATGTCTTAGACCCAAAAAGTCGACGGCGTGTGTCAGGCACTGGAGGCTGATCACCTACTTGCCTAAGATTTAAAAATTATCATGAAACAGATTCAGAAATCTGAGGCCAAGACCTAAAGAGGTTGTAGCGCCACTGAATTTTTTTTTAAATATAAATAACCTCTTGTAAAAGTAAGTCCTTCTCTTCTAACTTTGCTTCGAACATGTTGTTGATTTCCCGAAGCGCCTGACGTTTACTTTCAGCTAACTGTTCAAGTCGTTCTTCGTAGTCTTTTCGCATTCTTGCTGTCTTATCTTCTAGGCTCTAAAAGTAACAATTCTAAAATTAGAATTTAAGATCAAAAGAAGTCCAAGAATAACAAATAAAGGGGTTTAAATTATATAAAAATGAGAGTTATTAAAAAAATAATTAATAATAATAAAAGCCGTGAGCTAGGGATAAAAATCTACAACTACGTTACTAAATGTATGACGGTTAATATAACACTTATATTGGCTAAAAAACAGCGCAACAACAAAGAATATTTAAAGAAAAACTTTTTACCGGATTAAAGTTATGTGTGTATGTTATTTATAATAATTATAAATTTACAATTATTTAACATAATTTTAAATTTATCCGACGTGTTAAATAATTGTAAATTTATAATAATACATAACTTTAATCCGGTAAAAAGTTTTTTCTTTAAATGTGTAAAGGTTATGTCAATCAAAGACAATACTATGAACAAAGAATATCCATTTCTGGCCGCAGTTAAACATATAGTACGAGACCTATCATCACCTATGTTTTAAAACGTACCCACCTACGATCGACATGGGATTTAGCACTCATTCTGACGCCCGTACGTCAAAAATGTTTTGGATGGACATATAGCAGTCATAGTTTGCGCTAAATCTTTTTTTTATATAATCGGGGGGCAAACGAGCCTGCGGGACGCCCAAAAAGGGCAGTCATCGTAGCCCATAGACACCCAATTTCAGTGGGTGCGTTGCCGGCCTTTGAGGGAGGAGTATTCTCGATTTTTGAACATTTCGAGGCCGTATTTCTGAGGGAAGACCCCCACCGGGAGTCGATTCCACAGTTCGCTAGTTCGCAAAAGAAAATGCCTTGTGAGACGGACTGTGGAAGACTTCCAGCCATCAAGGTGATGTTGGTGAAATTTAGAATTCATACGGCTCGTACGGTGTTAAAAAGAGGCAGGAGGATCAACCTAAACAATTCTTCAGAACACTCGCTCACTCACACTCACCTCACTCTATGTGTCTATTACCAATATATTGGTCACAGATACCTAATTCAGTTTCACTAATAATTTTTGTTCACAATAATACTCTTTGTTGTTTTACTTAGAGCTAAGACGCGAGTCGAAATCTTAGTAAAAGTACTTACCTGATATCTATCATATTCGCTGATTAGTCTTATGTTAAAGTCCGCTTCCAAGGCTTGCAAAGTCCTCTCGTGGCCTGAACGCAGCTTGGCAATATCTTGTTGTATCATACCGATTTCGTGTGTGTGCTCATTTTCCATTTGCTAAAACGTTTATATTAGATTAGGCATCCAGTATCACTTTAACCATATGCAACATCCAAAAGTATTAGATTTCTGCAACTGTTTCGTCGATTATTTATACAAGAGTAGATGATCAGCCTATTGTGCCGCAAGTGTTAATTTGTATATCGGAAGAAAAATTAGTGCACAACCGGGGTGCGAACACACCACCACAGTTGAAAGAGGGCTTAATACTGGGCTTCACTGCTTATTAGACAAACACTCAATAGATAATGGTACGTAAACTGAAAGTCTGCGATTATTATGTCTACATTACTATGGTATTAAGACACATGTGTGTTCAATTGTTTATAGATAAGTAGGCATAATTTTTTTTTGTATTATAAATAGGTTGTCTGGAAGAGATCGCTTAGTAGTGATAAGGTCGACCGTTGTACTATATTTTATTATCATTATCATTTAATTCTTGTGCAAAAATGTGTAATTAAGTAAAATAATAAATAAATACGACCATTTAATAACATGGCAGCCAAGAGGTCCTGGGTCCGATTACCAGTGAAACAATATTTCCAATTGGTATATACAGATTTTAGAAAAAATCAATAAAACATGCACAAATTAGACTGCCCTATGCCCCATTACATAAGATATGTCTTAGGCACGTCTATTCCTTTCCCCTTGAATCTCAGTGCAACCGCAGAATCAAGCGCCTGACGAACACAACCGATCATATCTTAAAACCAATAGTTATCGAATGGGTGGATTTTTTAACGTTCTATTTTTGAAATTCAAATTATTACCTCATTTTTCTCTTTTAGCTCCTCGATAGCCGCACAATAGCCTTCATGGACTTCTTTAAGCTTTTCCGCTTGAGTAGCTTCCGCTTGCCGCAGTTGATATGTATGTTCAGTTTCTAGTTCACTCATTCGAGTACTGAGCAACTGAAAACAAATTTAAAATATAAATGTTAACGCAATGTATAACAATTCATCGGCAATCACGGCGGTTAAAGAGATAAACCCTACAAATATTATTAATGCAAAAGTAACACTGTATGTTACGTTTTACAACTGAACAGATTTTTATTAAATTTAATATAAAGTATAGATAGAGTTGCTCTTGGGAAATGTTACCTTTTATCGTAAAAAAGGGTTGAAATATGAGAGAGATATATACTTATATAAATAAATAAATATAATATAGAAGTTGGTCAATGTTAAATATCCTAATAATTAAAAACGCTGCCTAAAACATGGGAAAAAGTAAAATATTTGTTACAAGGTACGTTATTTAAGAATTAATAGATTAACAAATTACAGACACTAATTTTACTTTCATAATCCGAAAACGAAACAAATATTATGTATAGTATATCTATTCCGTAAGTTACACTAAGAATAGATATAAGTACTATGTATAGAAGTTAGCTATTACCTAAAATCTAATATAAAAAGAAATAACTGGTTATAAAATTGAAATTCTCCGAATATGTCTCCTCAAACAAAAACTTTTTCTAACAATTTTAACTCACATTTATACTATTAATCTTCTCTTGCAAATCCTTCTTGCTAATCAAAATCTCTTTCGAGTAGGCAAAATCTTTGTCCAACGCAATTGCTCTACCGTCTGCATTTGTTAACCTCCAAACACATATTGACGAATCTTCAGCCACCGTCACCAAGGTCTGGTCATCGTAAGACAAAGTAACCCCTGTTATTTTCTTATTATGCATGTGAAACTCATTAAATATAGCTTTGTCTAGAAGTGGCAGTTGAACGGCGGTTACACCTCCCGCTCCCCCCGTTATGAATAGCATCAGGTCAGAGCGAGAAAGAATGATTGTGTCGAGACCGCATCCTATGAGAGTTAGGTTTCGTCTTATAGTGTTTGCCCCAATTTCTTTGAGCTCTCCATCGCTGCCAACCCCGTATGTTGTTTTTCCGTTGCTTGAAAGTACATAAAACAATTTTAGATAATTAAATAGATTTATTTTATTCCATATCATTATATAGATATATCCTATCATAAATTTTTAACAGTAGTATTAGTTTGAACCTCAGTTGCGCCAATTGGATTGTTCTATGTGCACTATTATCACTTGCTGATGCTGTAAAGGAAAAGGCAGCGTCTCTGACACAAAAGTTTCCGAAATCGTGTGTCAGGCACAGACGGCTGATCACCAGTACCTGACACACTAGAAAAGGCAATTCTTTTAAGAAAAACGATGAAGAAAACAGAAGGTCTTCCGTTTTTTGTCAAACATTTGTCAAATCTTTCCACTTCTGTGAAAAAATTTATTAATATAAAGAAAATACATTATGCTGGCTAAACAGTTTCGGATATAATTACTTGTTTACGGCGCATGCGCTGAATTGGTTTGTCTTTAGTATAACCTCTCCAACTCGTTGACCATTTGACATATTCCACTCATAGACAGCGCCTTCAGAACCGCAAGAGACAAGGGTCAAATCGTTTGCTGACCACGCAAGACCTGTAACCTTAAAAAAACCGTTCATTACTTCCAATGCACTAAGACAAACTAGAACAACACAAAATATATTTTAAATTATATGAATTATGCTAAAAAAGCACCTCTTGTAAATAAAATCTTATATGTGCTAGTATTTTTTATATACTCTTATACGATTTCTTATATTCGCCTCTACGATAAATAAAAAAAAATGTGTGCGTGGGTTGGCCCCCCCCAAAAGAAAAAACCCTCCTTTCTTTTTTTTTTTTTTAAAAAAAAATCCCCCCCCCCCCCCCCCCCCCATTATTTTTTTTTATTTTATAAAATAAAACAAGGGGTTTTTTTTCCCCCAACAAAAAAAAAATTTTTTTTTCCCCCCCCCCCCCCCCCTTTTTTTTTTTTTTTTTTTTTTTTTTTTTTTTTTTTTTTTTTTCCCTCCCCGGGGGGGGGGGGGGTTTTCCCCCCCCCCCCCCCCCCCTCCCCCCCCCCCCCCCCCCCGGGTGGGCTTCTTTTGCCCCCCCGGGGGGCCCCGGGGGGGGGGGGGGGGGGGGGGGGTGTTCCCCCCTTTTTTTTTTTTTTCCCCCCCCCTTTTTTTTCCCCCCCCTTTTTTGGTAAAAAAAATTCGAAAAGGGTTCAATAATTTAAGCTTGAAGACATATCTAATCGAAGTTTTGCATACATACTATTATAACGTAATAATTAATGAATATATAACAAAACTACAAGAAAATATCTTCAACGACATTCAAGGAATTCAGTTTATCTCATTAAATATAGGCTGTCTATGATATTTAGAAACGAGACAGTGCTAAGTCTGACTCTCGTACGTCAGAAATGTACCTAAGTTCGCGTAAGTGGTAATTTTCAGGCAAGTATGTTTCTGCGTCTGCTTGACATTTTTTATTACTTAAGTACTTACTTTCCCATTATGTCCTTTTAAGTTGTACACATTTTGAAAGGATACCGAAGAAAAGACTTGAATAACTTGAACGTTGACAGCGGCAAAAAGATGGCCATTGGTGCTGAACTTAGCGCGCTTACAATTTCGTATTGGAAATTCTCTAACCACTTCGAAATCGTCAATTAAAACCACCATATATCTAAGTTTGTCAGAGAATCCCACTATTGCAAATAGACCTGTAATTAGGTAAATTTACAGAAAGAATGCATGTTCATGTAAATTTATCTATCTTTTTATGTTTAATATGAACTGGCGTTAATGGAACATATATTTTTAATCTATTAGGCATGTCTCGACCACTGAAACGCTTTTAATAGAATCGAGTCTCCTCGCTTTAAAAAGTCTCCTGTCAGAGTGAGTGACTTGTAAAAATACATTTTTTTTCTAAAATGAAAGTCACACTTAAAGAAGCATTCTTTATGAGGTGTGCTCGAAGTAAATCTCGAGTTGAAGAATGAATATGTAACACAAAAAAAATACCTGTAGGATGTAAAGAGACACAATGAATCTCCTCTTGATACAGCTTTATCAATTCCACATCATCAGTCATGTAGTTCCAGATACGAATACTTTTGTCCTGCTCTCCAGACGTCATGAAAATTGGCTTCCAGGCGCACATTGACAATGAATTGATTCGTCCGTAATGCATGGCTGGACCGAGCTCTATGAATGGTAGCTCTGGATGCTGAAAAAGTTCCCAAAGCTACATTATAACAAGATTAAACAGAATAATAAGTAAGATTGATAATACCATTGAATCGAGTACTCATTGTCTTTCACTGAGAGACATTAAATGCAGAAATCGTACTATTTGCGCAGCAGAATACAAACCAAAAAAAAATATATGAACTCATCGTCATAAAGAGGAAAGAAAGTTACAAAAAACTATCTTATATAGTTGTATTAAAAAACTATAAGTGAATAAAAGTCCAGCATGAAAAAAGCACGTACCTGTAACATATGCAGCCCAAACAACTTAACGTAATATAGTTGAATTCTCAGCGTTGTGATAAGCAGTGTTTCCTGATTAGGATCTACTGCAATGTGTTGAATGGCGTCAAGTGGCGACCATATTGGATGCTCTCGAGTGTGTCTGGGATGGTAAGTCGAAATATACAATAATATAATTTTAACAAGCTCATTTATTTTATACTAGAAGATACTCACATACGTTATAACTTAAACTGAGAAAAAACACTTCAGTTCAAACTCACTTATAGGAATTCCTGGATATTCGGAAGAGGTTCCTCTTTCTCCAATGATGAGGAGTTTCCTTCTCAAACATGTGCACGTAACCCTGGCCACACGCGTAAACGAATCCTGTAACACCCAGTTTACAACATAGAATGAATAACAAACTTTTTTGACGTTTGTTTTAGTATCAATAAACTAACTAAACTATAATTTACAACATAAACAGGTTTGTATCTAAATAACAACCTAATAAGTAAAGAAGTAAAAAATCTGTTAATCATATAAGTAACATAATGTACACTTATGGCTCGTCAGTAAAGAAATACATATTAATGCTTCTAATTTTACATTTACTGCCAGTTCTCAAATCAAGGGCGTAGAACGGGAGAGAAGAACTGGCAATAAACTCTCCGCCACTCTTTTTAATCGCCAAGTTTTTTTGTTTTACAAAATGTTTGTAAGGAGCTGCAACCATTACACCATGTCCCATTGGACATTTTAAGTAATTAATATTAATAACGATGAATGGCTATTTTTATTTGTGCAACTTTTCCAAAATGTATTATGTAGGCGTGCTAAAATTAATGTACTAAAAAGCGTTTCCGTTGCGGGGATCAAGATGTTCTATTAATATTTAATATAAATGGTGTTATAATTAGTTAATTGATAACCTTTAGGAAAATTAACAAAGCAAGTTACAGGGTGGCTTGAACTATCTGTGGAGCTCTGATCACTGCTCGCGTCTTGTTTACTCGATACACTGGCCTTGTCACCTTCCTCGGCACTGTATTTTTAATATCTAGGCGTTAATGTAAGTAGCAAATGTATACAACATTTAATATGTAAATTTATGGCGTTTAAATATTTGTATTTTTGTAAATTATTAATATTGCGCAATGGAACTAGAAGGCATAAGTATGTTTCCTGAAAACGAATTTTACTTAACACTAGCTTCTCTTTTATAACCCGCACATATATTTGCGTTATAATAAGAGAAAAAGACTCTTAAGGTAATAATAATAAACGAGTAATAACGCAAACTATGACTCGCTTATGTCAAAATCTATAACGTTTTTGACATAGGAACGGAAGTCGTAGTTTCAGCAAGTATTGCAAGTCTCAAATTAAATTCAAATTCAAAAATCATTTATTCATATAGGTAACAAAATGTACTCCTTTGAACGTCAAAAAATAAATATATATGAAATGCTTCCAATTTTACATTTACTGCCAGTTCTCAAGTCAAGGGCGTAGAACGAAAGAAAAGAACTGGCAATAAACTCTCCGCCACTCTTTTTAATCGCCACGTTTTTTTTTTACACAATGTTTGTAAGGAGCTGCAACCATTACCCATGTTCCAAATGACATCTTAAGTAATTAATAATAATAAAATAAATTAAAAACAAAGATTTCTGAATGTTACCCAAAATAAATTAAAAACAAATATTTTTGAATGTTACCCTAAAGTCTTTCTAAGACGTCATTTACCTTTTTAACCAATTTTATAAGGTAAGGGTACAGCTTCTCAATTTGAGCTTATTAAAACACTGCACTATTTTAATTGAATTTAAATGCATCTTATACGTAATTTCTAAAGATTGAAAAGAAATTTGAAACTTACTCAGCCTCAACCTTTTTAAGCGACATTTCCATAACTTCCGATGCCTGGAAGATGCAATTTTGTCTCAATTCGCCATTTTCCACTACCATTATAGTCCCGGTGTCCGTCCCAAACATTATGCGATCCGGTGTTAACCACATACAACTTGTTATAACAATCTATTGATAAAAACGTAAGCTTAAAACAATCATATTTGTACGCACAACAATATATAATGCACATTGTACTTGAATGTTGCCATTAAATTTATGAGAAGATCGCATACTATACTGTACTTACGAGAATGATGTTTATTTGAAATGAATTAATTTTAATTGAATAAAAGTTCAGGACGCTGTCTGTGTCTTCAAACTGAAACTATTTTTATATCACTCTTTCGTTAAATCACATCAGGCCGAGAATGAATCATCTGCGCACACGCTTCGCAGGATAAACACTTAAAACGATTTCATCAAATACTTTCACACTTACATTTTCTGCCTTACACCAACCCCATTGCCGCCAAACTGTTTCGGCGACGTTCATAATACGAAATGTGTAAGGACCAGTTATAACAACAAGAGTGGCATCAGCCGGATTACATTGAACCTTTAAAACAATATGTCCTATCGTCAATTCATTAAAGAAAAAGCATTACGGGTAACGGGAAATGCTCTATTGCTGTAAGCTGTTTTGAGTTAATCAATAAACCAAAATGCGTATTAAATTTGTTTGAAATAGCAAAACGTAACTTGTGGCATCCTGGCCCTATAAAAAAAGGGTTTAATACACTATAAACCATTTAAAAATACTTAATTGAAAGGTTTGGCCATGAGACCTAAATATCGGAAGGCCAGAACTATATTATATGATAAGTCCGCAAAGATCATCATCGTACTTACACTCTCAACAATACCTTGCCCGCTAGGATTCTGCGCCTTAGCGTGACTCTCAACTTTCCCTTTATCCCAGTTATAGTAATACAAATACCAATCTGGCTCTCCTGTTATTGCGACTAGGTATTTAGAATCAAACGTAAACTGAACACATGCAAATTCCCTGGCTGTGGAGTTTTCGAATGGAACGGTTAGTATCTTGCGTCGCTTATAAGTTGTTAGATCATAAATTGTTATGTAAGGCTTTTGTCCCTCTTCAGCTATTTCATTAAGAGCCAGCCATCGCCTGAAATATCAAAACGGGTGTAATAACTAATAATGATACATTAAAGGCTTTGACTTAAGATTTGAACAGTTTCATTCTTAAAGGAGTTTAAAGATCGCAATGCTTCTTTTCCCAATTATTCTTGGAATAAATATACCTATAGAAAGAACACATTGCTGCATTACCCGCATTTTGGTATAGGATAACCTTACAGGGAGGTAATATATTTCTGCCATAGGTACTGCTTGTTACGAGAACCAAATAATATATAAGGCTTAAGTATACCAAAAACTGTATTTAATTTAAATCTATGCTTATGATTAAGTCGTAAACATTTTTAAAGCTTTCAAAGGCTTACCTATTCGGCGCTAATACCAATGATTTAATCGGTTTATGTTTATCCTGTAAACGGATAAACTTTTGTTTCTTCTGAAGATGATTATGAATTACAATAACACCGCCAGCAGGATAAATAATCTCCGAATCAGTTAGGTAGTGAGCATTGTATCTAAAACAATAATAAAAATTAAGAGTTAATAAGGATTAGCGTATAATTTTGCTTACATCGTATTTTTATTTACGTGACGTGATTAACCATAGTAGGTACAGACCCCGAAACGGACAAAGAATTCTGATCTAGTCGTTATAGTTAATAACGTAGTCATAAAGTTATTACTGTTTTATTCGTGATTATATAGTATAAGTTTCTTCGATTAATGGACTATTCAAAACAAAAATATTTTTTCAATTCGTAAGAGTTCTTGAGAGATAAGCCTCTAGAACCAAACAAACCCTTTAGCTTAATATTACCATATGTATAGCTCAGCTACGAAATTTACTACGCGATTACTTAACGACTGTAGTGAGGATGCATGTCTGTGAAGGTCTTAATAAAGCCTTGTAATAATAATCAATTTCAACAGGTTTAAACTTAAATAGAGCCTAGAAAATTCAAACACTTACTGAATATCTGTACGTAATCCATAATAAACTCTCGCTGATATATGAGGCGGAGTATTTACCGCCATTTCGATCTGCTTTTAAAATATCTTCAAACGCTTTCTTGGAAGTTGACACAACGATGCTTATAAGCTGCCGTTGTAACTATGACAACGTAATTGTCTTCGATTCTAGAGTCAAACAGGTATATCGAAGATACAAAGTAGGTCAAATAACGAACAAAGAAAATAAAGTTGGCCTAATGGATAGGTTACTGACTTTTTATAAATTAGGGCTAGTCTTATTATTTGTATTTTAGTTACAAATCTAGTAGAATCTATTTTCTGTTTGCTTCGCTCTAAACGTATTGCTAATAACTGAACGATATAAAAGTTCATCAATATATTTATATTACAGAGATATCAATATCCGACAATGTTGTTAGCTTCTTCTTTTCATACTCGAGGGTAGCGTGGTAGAAAGAAAACTTATGCTATTGGATACAGGAGACATGCCTGTGTTAGGTCGATTGAATTGTGAAGATATCGCCCACGCGGCACCAAATTTCTTGTTATTTACTTTAGGAATTATTGTAAAGGAATATTTACTGTGAAGATTTTGGTTCTTACTCGCACACTGATGTTTTTTGGGTGGCAACGGCAACCGTTTTTGAGGGGTGATTTATGTTCTAGTTGTACTTATGATATTATAATTTAAACATGTAAGATAACTGCTAACGCACGAATAGCTAAACGATAGTAATAATGTAGGTATTTATTTATATATGAGCAGTGTTGGCCTAGTGGTTTCAGCGTGCGACTCTCATCCCTGAGGTCGTAGGTTCAATCCCCGGCTGTGCACCAATAGACTATCTTTTAGATTTAAAAATGATCATGAAACAGATTCAAAAATCGAAGGCTGAGACCTAGAGATGTTGAAGCGCCACTGATATATTTTTTTTGTTTTATTTATATATGTAAGGGGTTAATACTGGTGCGAAGCAAAATGCGCATTATTTTACTCAATCTTTGCCATTTAACTCGAGATGTATGATTGGTGCTCAATGTCATCTGTAGTAGAGCATCCTATTTGCAATTTCCGAGGTAAGTCACAGTTTCCTTTCGTCGCACACGCCGTAATCTTCATAATACTCGAGTTACTTGACATTTTTCTTGCATGGGCTGGAATTAGAAATAACCTAAATCATTAACAAATAATTATTGAATAATAGAATTTATTAGCGGTTGTCATTCCTGTCAAAGTTACCCAGAAACATTCTGAAGATGTTTCACATGTCACAGTTGAACAATGCCTTAACTTACTTAATTCGTTTAATTATAAAGTGTAGGAATCCAATCTCGGCGAATAATTATTATGATATTTTACTTTTCTATAAGATGCAATGCATACAGTTCTGCCTTACATGTCGAAACTAGTACCTATATATATTATATATCTAGAATATTTCTTGAATTCTTTAGTTAACATATCACTTATTTATTATTATTAATTATACATATATGTACTTTCTAAGTTTTATTTTAAAAAAATAGCTCCATTTTCACCGTAAAAATCAGATGTACGAATGTAAACCTAGTAGGGGAAAATCGTAGAGATTTATATTAAATCCGTATAATAGGTTGGAATAAGGTCAAGGAAGTTTGTAACGCCGCTAATCGATGGCTAATTTGAATGGTAAAATCTAGACTTTACACCGGTACAGTGCTCCGGTTTCACTTATTACTTTTATTTGCATAGCCTGCTTACAAAGAATATACATTGTAATGCGTTTTTTTTATATATAATAGGGGGGCACGAGCTTGCGGGACGACCAAAAAGGTCAGTCTTCGCAGCCCATAGACACCCATGTTTAGTGGGTGCGTTGCCGGCCTTTGAGGGAGGAGTACACTCGATTTTTAAACATTTGGAGGTCGTATCTCTGAGGGAAGACCCCCACCGGGAGTCGATTCCACAGTTCGCTGTTGTCAATGTAGGTTTTGCAAAGCATATTGGCAGAATACTATACAAGCAAAATTCTAATTACTTAACAACAATTTTAATCAAGACAAGGTTAGTTAATTTAATGAGTAAATAATGAGAAATATGTTTTTAAAATTGCTTGCAACTTTATTAGTTGCGACTAAAATTAAAATGTAATTACTTGGTATGGTAATATTTAAAAAAAAACCCTCCGCAAGTAATAAATTGTATCTCCTATTTCCCCTTATTTATTAAACAATTAATTCAATACATAATAATATTAGGCTCATAAGTAAAAAAGTTATATTTTAGTTAGTTAGTACGCGTATATTGGATTTCCATATAAAAAAATTATGCAAACCTTTTGTTATAAATTCTTTAAGTTATCGTAACTAATGCTAAAACTACATAACAAAGGTACAATATGATGTTAAAACTGTTCATATAAGTACATAGTCAACAATTATACGTAGATATTCCAATATTGATAACGATTAATTACCGAGCGACCCAGTCAATGAATTTGCGATATCTAGAGCAATTAACAGTGCATCGCAAGAGCGAATATGAAAACTGTATTTTATTCACACGAGTAGCAGATCGTATTTATTTGAAATAAAAGGTTTATTTAATTTTACTAATTGGCTATGTTTCCATTACTTTTATTTAAATTATTACAAAAACGACGTGTAGCGATTCGCCAGAAACACATCAGTAGAAGACTGCCCAATTTCTTTCGTGACTTCTATCTAAGATTTATATAGAGACAATGATTGAGTATGATCTTTTGTTATTACAGATATATAAATCTATAACAGGTTCACGAAGGAAGCTGAATAAGATAATCAAAAGTCAATCATTAGAGCTATCACCCGTACCGTAGTATTGGAAGATCTGTCATAATGACACATACCGGCAAACCTTCCAACCCGTAACAACGATTATTTCGGTGAAAATGGACCCGGTACATCTGGGTTGTACGCCGTGTACTAATTTAGCAACGAAAGTAAAGAAGTACAGTGTCCAAATACTGATGCTTAAACGTTTTTGTGTTACTTCACCTCCGAAGGGTAATTTGCAGACTATTTTATATAGAGGGGAACATATTCAAAACATAACAGGCAAACTGTGATCACGCAATACAAGGGACTTTAGTAATATAAGGACATAAATTGTCGCCTTGTTAAATTGACAGAGGTCAGTGACCAGTCTATTCATTTATTGATTTCATCAATATTATATGATGGTTACTCTACCACGCATTATTCCATTGCGAATGTGTCGATTGTCATAATGAATACGTTACAGAACAATGTCTTTGACGTTAATTAAATGAACAACAGAACAAAAACAAAGACTGACTCAGATGTTTATCTCGCGATAATAATAACTTTCACACATTCATTTTATAATCCTCACTTTGCATCTGTCCCCAATCCTTTCAAATACAGCTTATATCTAACCATACCTTACGATTTTACGACCCCAAGTCAAAGCTAAACACTAGTAGATTTGATAAAGCGTTTAGCAAACATACGGTTTAACTCTATACATTTTGGTATCATTCAATTATAAATGTTTCAAGCGAAGTTCAATAGAAAATACCATTTTGAAATCATATAGGGAAGATTGTTACCCTTCGTACCGGGGCACATTCATACAGTCGAAATAAAACTTGAACGAAACAAAGTACAGTCTTGTTTTTGTATGTGTGCATGAGTCGAGGTACGAACTATACATAATCGAAGTTTCGCGAAATTCGCACCGATGAGAATGAAGTTACAGGCATGGACGTGTTTTCGCGCTCGGTAAGTAATTTTTGATCAATGTTTTTGTCTCTTGTTACCGTAGATAAAATAAGTTTTCGTGTAGAGTATTCTATCAGTAACTAGCAAAATATACTTAGATACGTCTCCAATACTTAATTTATGACGTTTTCCTATTAATATTAAAATAAGTTATATTTTGTTGTTATTCAGTTAGTGGGGACTTTCGGACAGCACTAGATGGGGCACATTTGAACGAATTGTACAACTAAATTTGTATGAAAATATTTTGTCGACACGAACTGTAATTTTCATACAAATTAAGTTTTCGACTTGCTACATACAAATAATAATAAGGCATCTTGACTAAACCCTCTGGTAGGTAGGAAAGATTGTGTTAGTGTGCTAATTGCTCTAATATTTCCATTAACTTTGTCCTGTGTTGCTATCATTGCTATCGTCGATGTATTTTTATTACCTATTTTTATTATCTTTATTAAGGTTGATTTTGATGCATGTGAACCAGATGCTTTGAATAATTTACCAATCCATCAAATAGTAGTTCCTTCGAAGTCAGTTTTGACACCTTAAGGGTTTCGACTCTATACGCATGTTGTAAGAAGTAATAAAACAAACAAAATGACGACGGCCAGGAAAACCACGAATTTATACTGCCACACCCGAAAATAAGAAGTGCTAATCCGCACCAAAGATTAAAGAATGTGATTCTAAATTTAAGATACCTAACTAATTAAATTTTGGTTTTCTTAAGAAAAGCTATGTAATTTTTGTTCACTATAATTAAAGTATTTTATTTTTGTTTATTAGAAGTTAAATCTTTATTTTTGTGTTTAATTTCATTGCTAATAAATGAATTTTGATTTATATGTGTCGTTTTAATCGCACGTACGGAACTACCCCACAGCGTACGAAGGTACCCTCAACACTGTACGAAGGTGCCCCGTTGATGGGGTAGATTCGTACGTTTTCCAGATTTAGTTTAAATCATAATTATGGTTGAACCATCAGATGAAATCATTTGTCATTTTCTTATATGAATCACAGATAGTTAGACTATAAATTTAAGCTTGCAGATGATTGATTCATGGAAAAATAAAATAATAAAAAAATAAAATGTGAAAACCGTACGAAGGGTCCCGACCTTCCCCTACCACCATAGACTTTACTTTTTATGTGCAGGAACAATATAGATTCAAAAATAGAACTCTGTCGATAAGAACCACTGCTCAAGGCTCGTAAATTGATTTGCTCTTATATGTATATACCAGTAAAACATTTAGTATAGCGTGATCGTTTTAAATAGATTTTGTGTCATCAAACAGTGGCATCATACAAACAAATGTATGCTCAGGATGTGATACGCATTGTTAACATAATAATGATTATTTAAGATTCCAATACATTTCAAGACAAGAAAATCTTTAGGTGATTTCCGAAGAGGAAAAACAGGCTTAAACTTTAGCTAGAATATAAATGAAACAGTTACCACGTTACAGTATTTTATAAAGTAATTATATTTTAGATTTTTACATTGTACAAATTGCCTTTTGTTTCTTGTAAGCATTCTATCGCGACCTTTGGCTCTTGGAAGGTGACGATTCACCGCTGACGTCAGGAAAAACGTGGTGTTTACAATTTTCTATTGTCTAACCTAATTTCTCCCGAACACAATTGAGAACTAATCGCCAAGCAACAAGAATTCGTGTTCTTAATAACCATATTAAGTATTATGTAGCACTTAAACAGTAATTAATTTGGAAGCTTTATACGAATAAATGTATTAAATTAACAGTTTATATATAGCTTTCTCGTTGAGCACATGTGTATATCGTGAAAATCGTTTAATAACTATGAGATCGCTCATAAAATTGTTTATAAAACTACCTATTTATCTGTGCTGTGTTGATAATGTTGTAAAGTGTGACTGAGGATAGTTACGCGGCTCAGAGTTAGTGCTAACTACCTCGAAGTTTCAACTACAAGTAGTGTGCCTCCGAACGTGCGAGGAGCGCGGACTTATTTTCCGCCGCGGAAAACAAACGCAATTATCTCAAAGTGATAACAGCTTGCTATCAGTGCGTGATAACTAACCAGTGATATAAGATAAAACCAATTGGTCGACGCCTGTTCTGTGTAACCATTATGTAAAATTAAAGTGGTAAAATGACGACCATGGCTTCCAGAAAGACCATATCTATCCACGATTATCCGGAGCACCTGAATCCCTTCCGAGAAGACGATAACCACAATAAAATAAGGTTCTGGACAATAGGACGAAAGAGATCTAACAGCATTAATTTCACGGGGATTAAGGAGTTGAAAAATTCTTGGTAAGTTTCCGTGAAGATTTTATTAACGAATAACCAACTTCGGAATACAAATGCGGTATATGATATCTGAAAAGTAACGTAATACAAATGTTTAAATAACAATTACATCAACCAGATGTCGAAAAGGGAAAATTTGTGCGGTTTTTGACCGCACGAAGGTAACTTTGGTTAAGTAAGCATTGTTCAAAGGTTTAATGTTTGTACACGGTAATGTGTCCGGTTATTAATAACTGCAGTATGCGTCATCTTAAATAATGTTTTATGGACAACCTTGAATAATGAATAATTTGAGACGTTGTTAAAATTGTCCATGTTTTATATTTGCCTCACCCACTATCTTTTAATAAGAATTAAAATATCAATGTAACAACATATTATCCGGTAATAACTTATGGAATCACAAATAAAATAGGGAACAAGTAATGAGTCATGTGTTGCGAAATTGTTTGTGTCACACTCTAATAAATCTTTACAGCAAATGAGCTGCATATAAACTATATATTTGATTCAACTATAAATCAACAGGCAATATATCACTGCATTAACGGACGCAGAATATGGAAACACTGAATTATGTTGTGATTTTTTTAAACGTTCTGTCAAATCTGCTAAACAAAGCGTTTATTTACCATACATGTTACTTATAACTTTTCGTACCTTACCTTATCCTAAAAAAAATCCTAACAATGCCTACATCTTTATTTATATAAAATTATTTCTTTTGAATAATGCACCACGCTTGAACGACAAACAAGATATTTTGTTCAAGTATACGTACGTATACGTACATGTAACTTTTAAATATACATATGCATTATGCACGTCTTGAAGTTACGATATTTATAGAGTTGATGTCATTTTATTAGCCTCTGCAAACAAAGGAGTACCCCGATATCGCAAATTACATATTCAACATATAAATGTATTTCAAAGTCACCGTTCAAGAGGGCCAGGGTTAAGGACCCAATAAATATAATTTTAAATAATATACCAGAACGGGCCTGGTAGAGCATGACTAAAAAACACCTGCATAGAAAGTATGAGTTTCATAGGCTCAGTACTCTACTTCTGCTCACAAACTTCTTTCTTATTCCTCAGTAGTAACTACTACTACTCAAGGTGTATCATTGCGAAGATTTTTTTTTAATTCTCATCAGTAAATACAGATTTCATTCTTCTAGTGTCTACTGACAAATATATTATGAATTTAATGAAAAAATCTATAATATATATTTCTTAATATGTACGGGCTGTTTAAGATGTCATAGTTTGGCTATGTGAGACATGCATTAGGGAAATACACGTTATCTTTCAAGACTTTAGGGTTAAAAACTGACTTAGCAACGCAAGAAACGGAAATGGATATGGTTGTTCCTGAACGTGTCTTGGCAAATATCCAAAGATTTCATTAGGTTTATTTTCTGCAGGATCTGTTTGTTTAATTAGGTACTTAATGTAATATGCAATTTATGTTTCTTAATGCGTTATAAATGAACCCATAATGTATCCTTTCAAACCTAGTGCGTTCAAGATTTTTCGAAGAAGTTCGCAGATTGGTAACATTGATTTATTTGTGCATTTAAGACCGAGGTCTGGTGTTCCGAGTCCCAACAAAACCAATCGTAGGTAAGATGCTCAACCACTACACAAATTTGTTTTTTGCACGTAACGTTCATAAACAATCATGACCTTCACCTTTCAAAACCGTAGAACTAGAAACGCGTACTTATGTCTCATTACAGGTTACATTAATTTCCAAATAACCACATTTACACGTTAATATATATTCTTATGGTGAAATTTTCTTCATCAGTCCTGTCCTCCTACTACTTACTATTGGTTGTTTAAGAAAATAAGTAAATATTTACTTTGCTACCGAAGAAATTGTTGCACAAAATATTGCGGCTGCGTCAACACAATATACACTAAATATTAATATTTGGCATTAACCAGGAACTTAACTAGAATCTTTTTTTTATTGCACAGGTAAATCTAAATCTTTCATCTTTTCTGTCTCTATGCGGTAGAGTACGAAATGTAGCAAATGGTTGCATGCAAGTTCTATTGATTTTCCGTGTGAGTTTCAGTTTACGGAAAAGGTTTCCATCAATTAAAATTATATAAATAATCTGTTGTGGCCTTCATATTCATTCAGGTATATCTTATTACTAAACTAAATGGCTGTTTATTGATATTAACTGCATGTGTGCGCCGTAATTTCATACACCGTAAAAGCTAGTTGTATATATTATATCCACGCGTCTTTCATCGAATTTTGCACAATTACACTGGATTTTTTACGTATTTTCTACTAACATGGTTCTTACTTCTAAATTACTACATTGGTAAAAGTACGATAATTTACTGCAAAACCAAAATAAGATAGAGATTCATACTAATGAATCTAAGATAACCATTATAGATTAGAAACCGAACGAATATGCCATGACTATAAGAATAGGTTTTATAGCATATTGTTAAAGTAATTATTTACTGTAATGATTCATCGTAAATTCCTAAACACTGGAAAGTGGGTCACTGTTTGGTTAGAGCTGCTTCAGGCATTCATTATCACTATATTTGCCTACATTTGGAAGGTCCTAGCCTCGGCAGCAACATACTTCGAAATGGGGTAAATCAAACAAAACTGGCTTAAAATCAACGAAAAATAATAATTTAATCAATAAGTAGCATTTCTAGAGAGAATGCAGCCATCGCTCGTTTTTTAACAATGTCTACATATAGATTTATATGCATTTATATTACAAATAAGTTTGTGCTTATTGTGATTATTTAACAAGGCAAAACCTGGCAATGCAATCACTGTTTGCGTCGAATCTAGTAATTTCTGCGTTTTCGGTTTATTAATAAAGAACAACTAAACATATTCAAACTAAAACTTCACACGGGTCAGGAGTTTGAGGCTGTCACTTACGTCATACTCGAGTTGTTTAAATTGCATATAATTATTATAATTATTCCGTTATCGTTATTGAAGGATAAAAGAGCAACTTCAATAACAGGTCAAATCACGTATTATCGTACGACCTTGTTCGATTTAATGTCACTCTCACGTTGACGTATCGCAGTCTTATTTAACTTATACATGTTAAACCATGTTGTTTTGCTTAAACGATGTACTGTTATAATGTGTATAATATTTAAATAGTTAGAAGGGAAAACTAACATTAAAAGTTTGCGTACCTTGCTTCTTGTGGTCTTTAAGCTTAAAAATACCCGGTTGATATTCCCGGAGAAAGAGCGAAGTCTTCAATTGGAAGGTATACGTTACAAGAAAGACATTTACATTTTTATTAAATTACTAGATACTCGTTTAGTTATCACAATTTTACAAATTATTATATAAATCTCGATTATTTTAGTTTATTTGACACGATCCCGTAACAAATGTTATAATCACGTAGTAATCCGTTAAATGGAATTTTAAATTGTTCTGACTATGACGTCGGCCTTGCAAGCATCTGCTATATGTTTATTTAGGTTCGCACGCTTATCTCATCTTCATTACACATATAGAGCAAGATGTTAGTCTCATACAATGAATGTATGAAAAAATTAAGGAAGACTCAAAAATTTACAAATTTACTTGCCTATTAAGGAATAATGATCTCAAAACAGATACCGAAATCTGAGGCCTAGAGAGGTTTTAGCGCCACTGGTTATTATTATCATATTATTTTTTTATTATTGTTGACTTTAACCTATTTAGAATAAACTAGACGGTCTTATATATGGAGAGATGGTTGATCATAGATGACGAACAGCTATTATTAAGTTAGAGTCCATAGTCATCCGGGACAGGATATGAAATACAAATGACCCACAAATAACCTTTCCAATTCATCGAAATAATAGAGTATAATATACTAGCTCATATATGTATGAAGCTCCAAAGGCCTCCGTGGTGTAGACAACAGACTCGTTTATGCGTCCGCTACATCATGTCTTGTTTGCATGGATCAAGTATTGAACCTGACCAACATCGTGGATTTTTGCGTTACCTCACGATACGTACAGGACGTACGTTCGGGAACTTAGGTGAGATCTATAGTGCGCACTCGTTCTTCGCTCATACTCCCCTTACAAAAACTTCCTCTGTGCACCCTAAGGTTAATTTCTTTTTTCTTTTTTTTTTTTTTTTTTCCGGGGGGAGTTGAAACGCCCCCCCCCCACCCAAAAAATATATTTTTTATTTTTTTTTTTTTTTTTCTTTCCTTTCTTTTTTTTTTTTCCCCTTTTTTTCCAATCCCCCACATTTTTTTTTTTTTCCCCCCCCCCCCCCCCTCCCCCCCTTTTTTTTTTTTTTTTTTTTTTTTTTTTTTTTTTTTTTTTCCCCCCCCATTCCCCCCCCCCCCCCCCCCTTTTTTTTTTTTTTTTTTTTTTTTTTTTTTTTTTTTTTTCCTTGTGGGGGGGGGCCGGTTTTTTGTTTGGTTTTTTTTTTGTTTTTTTTTTCCCCCTTTCCCCCCCCCCCCCCCCCGGCCCCCCCCCCCCCCCCCCCCCCCCCCCCCCCCCTTTTTTTTTCCCCCCTTTTTTTGGGGGGGTTTTTTTTCTTATTATTATTTTATCCCCCCCACCCCCCCCCCATTTTTTTTTTTTTTTTTTTTTTTTTTTTTTTTTTTTTTTTTTTTTTTTTTTTTTTTTTTTTTTTTTTTTCCTTTTTCCCCCCCCCCCCCCCCCCCCCCCCCCCCCCCCCCCCCCCCCCCCCCCCCCCCCCCCCCCCCCCCCCCCCCCCACCACCCCATTGGTGGGGGGGGGGGGGGGGGGGGTTTTGTGTTTTTTTTTTTTTTTTTTGTTTTTTTTTTGTTTTGGTGTTGGGGGGGGGGGGGGTGGGGGGGGGCCCGGGCGGGGGGGGGGGCGGGGGGGCGCCTTTCTCCGCCCCCCCTCCCCCCCCCCTTTTTGTGGGGGGGGGGCGGGGGGGGGGCCCCCCCCCCCCCCCCCCCCCCAGACTTGGCAAGTTCTTGTTAATCTCATACTTATTTCTATAAGAAACAAGTCGTTGATGTGCATCTTGTATATGCACATCAACAGTATCTATCATATCATTTATAGTCATATAATTATTACTATAATTATTTGTTTTTGAGACGTTATCTTTGAACAACAAGAACTTACAAAAAACAAAAACTTATTTTGAACAAAAACTAGAACTTATTTTGGATTTAGTTTACTTTAAATCATATAAACATAATTTGAAAGCGTGTCCCTAATTTCAGTTAAAAAGTAATAAATTCAACTGCATATTATTCTGACAGCATGAAAATTAACTATTTAATTTGTGTAGTTACTCAATTCTTTAAACCAGAAGAAATCAATTGAAAAGTAGGTAAAACACGTTCATTGTTTGTAACATATCATACATTGATACACGCAATCAATTTGGTCACGGACATAACCGACTGAGGGCGTTCGAATATTTAATAAATTAACGGAATTTCTTATTGTTAGACTCTTATTTCGAAATGTTATGTTATTTGTTATCTATTGTCTTGTCTTTTCCAAAAGGTTAGTAAATTATTTTTAGTAACATATTATATTTTATCCTTGCTATTTTATATATAGACATACGTAGTAAGGCGCATGAAGGTCCTGCTTAGCGCTTCTTAACCTTCAAAGAAATATTAACTGTTGTACTTAACTATTATATCTATACGTGTATATGGTAGATGCGCTTTGGTGTCTAGGGCCATGACGGATTGTACGTACCTAATAATTTTATGATCTACCTCTGATATAAAAAGATTTGATTTATGAGACCTTTTTAAAATCTCTCTTAAGTAAAACACATGTAGTTTACAAGTCTTATAATTTTTCTTATCTTGTTTCAAGCTTCTCGTCTTAAATTAACCATTCTTCTGCGACATTATTGTTATTTATTTACCTCTGATATAAAAAGATTTGATTTATGAGACCTTTTTAAAATCTCTCTTAAGTAAAACACATGTAGTTTACAAGTCTTATAATTTTTCTTATCTTGTTTCAAGCTTCTCGTCTTAAATTAACCATTCTTCTGCGACATTATTGTTATTATTTACCTCTGATATAAAAAGATTTGATTTATGAGACCTTTTTAAAATCTCTCTTAAGTAAAACACATGTAGTTTACAAGTCTTATAATTTTTCTTATCTTGTTTCAAGCTTCTCGTCTTAAATTAACCATTCTTCTGCGACATTATTGTTATTATTTAAGTAATAAAATTGCTACAAATAGACGTCTATATTGGGTTATCAGGGCACCTAAAGCTACCTTTAGGTTCTCGCCCGTTAATATACCGATCCGTCACGGCACAATTGTGACCGCTCAAGTGGAATCAAGTGCACTAAACTTCCATTACTTTTGTCAGAGTTACGCCTACAGGCATCCGCTCACCGGACTGTGGGATCTTCTTTCTCAACAATGAAAATTGGACGCACAAATAATAGCGCAATTTTTTCATTTAATCCTGAACATTTTATAATACCACATTGTATTTGAATTATGTTGAGATGTTACCAGAAAGGTTTATTAATTACCTACTACTAAGTATTACTTGCTGTTACCAAGAAACAGGTGCGGATAAAAGGTTTCATTTATTTTATTGTAACCGCCCTTCCACGAATTTCCTTTACGTCGCTTAAATTTAAATTAAGATTTACACGGAGATTCAAAAGTTGTAAAATAACATAAGCTTAATAAATAAGAACTTTAGGAATTATTTTTCAATCTTGACAGTCTAAAAATTATTCATATGAATGCGTAGAAGAAAATTCTTGAATTTTATATCTACTAAAATAAGAGATGCCACTAGAATCCCACAACTTAGTTTCATACGTGCAATATCATCATCATAGCATAATCTATAAAATGTTTAGTTCAATCTGATGCGCCATTACTATTTCCTCCTGGTAGTTTTGCGAACGGATGGCGTAGGGTAGTCTTGCTCTTTCGCGAATTTTGTAAACGTTTTTGACATTCATAAGCATGCCCTAAGACGCATCTAAATTAAATAAACGTATTTTGATTTTGATTGATTATTTTTATAATTAAAACATTGTTTTGATTTTTCAGGGCCCTGCGATCCTTTATGAAAAAAGGGAAAAAGAGTGAGCAAACACCTATTCCCATATCTACACCAAGTAAGCCTACTAACCAACTAAATGGAGATAGCAGTCCTATCGTCTTCAGAAGAGCTATGCAGTGTAAGATGCTTTTTATTAAATCATTAGAAATGTGTTTTTATCCCACAGCTTTTGAGTTAAACTATAATCTTTAAATGTATTTTTACGATTATTAGGAAAGACAATTGATAGAGGGCGATAGATAATATTGTTCATGTAACGCTTTAACAGTAAATGACCTAATTGATTTCCGATAGCATAATAACACAGTTCATTTGTGCAATAATCAAATAGTGATTAATTATATAAGTTCAAAGACATGTCAGAGTCTCCATGACCATATTATGTCAAATAAGTAAAAACGCGCGTACGCAACTACCCTGAATCTTAGCCAAAATCTATAAGCACAACTTATATAGCCATAGGTTAATAATGACCATGTTGTGTATCTTGTTTTTCTAATTTCATATAAATAAATATGATACATGCATTTTGTACTTTGCTGAGTTATTTATTTATCAATAAGGAAACATGACATAAACATCACAAAAACAAGATATATAAAAAATACAAGTTATAATTATAGAAGTTTTCTTGAATTGTACATTCAGAGATAAGATTTATTTTTATTAAAGTACATAACATAAAAGACTAACAATTATAACAACGATAATTTCGATTACATGGACAGTGCGCATTTGAAACCTAGTTTAGCTATTAAAAAACTCCTCTTTATCTCTATTCATTATTTCTTTCATATTTTCAGACTCTTCAATGTCCAGAAGTACAATTTCTTCACCGGGAACTGACCGCTATGTGTATGGCGGTTCCATAACGCCATTGCCACGTTCACGGTTTCAAGAACGTCTCCGAAGTTCACAGCAAGATGTTAACATTTCTCCTAGGTAATTATAATATTTAAAAAAAACAAATTTAACTTTTTTCACAATTGCATTGTACCAGCTTTAGATCTATGAGCGAAGCGAGCGAATCCACGATTCGTCAAAACAGATTTCCTGATATTGACATAATACGAATACAAACATTTATAAATATGTAACATTAAATTGATTTACAGTGCTACGCCACGAATGGCTCGCAGTGAGATAATGGGTTCCAGATTGAGTGTAGTAAGCACCAACCCCTTCGAGGAAGCGCCGATACCCCCCGTTCGCGCTTCTCGAAGAAAGAAGAACCGCGCTCCGCCACCGCCGCCAGCTAACGAGGTTGCTTCAGACGATTCGGTAAATTACCAATTTCCTATATTAACTTATATTTTTCAAACTCTGAGAAAAAACTTATTCCTTTCGCTATTGGGTTTTAACAATAAATTTGACTACTAAGAACTGTACTTAAGTAGACAAAATTAATATAAGTTTAAAAACATTACAGATTAACTCATCGATTGATTCAGAACTGCGCATTACTGAAACTGAAAATAAGAAAACAGATGGTGTTGTTGATGATTTAGATGAGTTAAACCTTAAAATTGAACTTAAAATAGTTGAGGATGAAGATCAATCTCACACAGAAAGCAAAGTTAGTCCGAAAGTTGCTTATACAGAAGAAAGTGAACCCTCTCAACAAACGAGTCTAAACAACAATGATATAACGGAGACAGAGGAGAAAGGTGAAAAAACATCAGAGAATTTAAACATAGTGAATAATTCTGATTCCGAAGATGACATTCTCAAGAAAGTTTCATTTCCAAAAGTTAATATAAATAGGTATAGAAGAAACTCTAGCGTTAATGAAGATGATGTAAGATTGCGAAGAGGTAACTTGGAAGATTACAATCTTTCGAATAAACGGAGCAAGAGCTTAACAAATACAATCGATGGAAGTTATGCCATATACGATATCAATTTAAATGATAACAATGTTGACGAAAACAGTAACCAAGAACCACAGAAAGTTATTTGTAAAGTTTATGAGGATCGCAAGCAAAGTATCGATAATTCCGTATCGAGCACCGAAAAGGAATTTATAGAAATAGACAAAGCTACTAGAGAACTGGAAAGGGAAATCAGTAAATTAAATTCAGCGTTAAACGACGATGACTTATCGATCAACGATGGACGTCTTTCCGTTTCTGATATAAAACGTAAATTCGATCGCAGTGACATGTCATCACCGAACCCGATACCAAAGCCTAGAAGAAGTCACTACGGTGGATCTAGTTCACCGATTAATAATCCAGAAACATAAACAGAATTGTAGTAAATTAACATATTTATGGAAATATTAATAAATAAAAAAACTTAATTTTTGTTACAAGAGTAATGTTTAGATCTCAGTTTTGTTTTTTGACAAAAAATAATGTAAATCTAATTAAATAACAATTACTAAGCCAATCTGTTTTCGATAAACTAATGCGTTTTAAATTGAACTGATAATTTATATCTATTTAATGACGAATATAAGTAATAGCCTTATTAAGAAAATTTTTACAATTTAATACAAGAGGATTTTAATAACGTACTCGTATCTATTAAAAATTTACTTCTTTGGAAGTTTGTTAATGTATTATAAAATACGTCTGTTTACGGTTAGAGAATGAATTAAGAAAAAATAGTGATTACTAATAGATTACGTGATTGTAATTCTCGCGTAAATTTATCATATTCATTCCAGATAGAAGACATAATAATTGTTAAATTTTTCGCCATTTTGTATTAGACAAAATTCATAAAACTCATTATAGAACAAGTTACCTATTTAAGTCATAATTTCATAATACAAAGTAGATTAAGACCTTGTGATAATTATTCAGACTATATCACATTTTTTAAAACCAAAGCATGTATTATTTCAATTGAAAATATTATATTTATAAATACATGTGTTTTTGTTAATATTTAACCAATGTGATGTATAGATTCCTATTTATATTATGTTGGGTTTTAACAGTTTGTTATTTAATAAAGTATGATTTTGAAATAAAAATATATGTTTTATATGTATAAAATAATTTTAATGTATAAATGTGGACATTATAAATAATATGCTACTTAGCAATTCCTATAAGCTGCTAATCCTTGCTTTTTTATATTTAATAAATCTAGGAAGGTTAGAACTAACTGTAGAGACCAAAACTTTGTATTCCTTTGGGAGCTTTCGCTGCTGTCGTGACTGAAATAGAAAAATATACTTATGAGAAATCTAGTTACTGCTTTTTCTAAATGTTTCTTTCATTACACATATGTTGAGGCTAGTAGGTGCTTTCTCTACCAATGAACGCAAAACAATAAATATAAATATTAGTTGGTCCAAGAATCAAACCGAGGGTCTACAGTCTATAAGCCATATACACTAACCTCTAAGCCAATGCAATCAAGAAATATATACAATAATTAACACCTTTGAGCTTTCAACAAACACTTTCAAAATATTTTATTTTATAGTAGTATGTAGACTACTATAGATTATTATAGTAGTATGAAATATAGTTTTACAACATTAAAAATGCAATATATGTATAAGGAAGATAAACAATATTTATTCACTTACTTTATTTTTCAATATTGGACCTAAAATGCCTAATTTCTCAACAAGTTTCACTTTTGCTGCTATTTCATCTGTCTCATCTTCCGAGTATAAATCAACAAGGGTATCTATAGCTTCAGCAAGAACCCACACTTCATTCTCCTTATGTGCTTGATCCAATAAAAATTCAGTTATTGTACATATAACTGTAGTAGTTGTATCATTTATATTATTTACTAACAGGAGAGCCAATATACCAATCATACGAATAAGGTTAGATCTAATTTCTGGGACTTGGCAGTCTTTTATTCCATTTAACATTATCTGGAAAGGTAATAATCAATTCAGGTCAGAATCATTACTTTAACTTAAAGAAACAAAAAAGCATCTTATTTACATCTTACCTCAATATCGGTCAAAGCCAAATCACTAAACAAACCACTGTCATTATTAATATTGCCATTTTCTCTAAATTTAATTTTATCTAGGGCAGCCCTCATTACCGCTGTGGCTGACTCAACTAAGTTAAGATTATCAGAGTTTTGTTTGAATACCAATTTTCCAGCATCCACCCATATCCTATATACACCGTTTACTCCACCAAGTTTGTCTATTGGTAAAGTCATAAGGATATTATTTACACATAATAATGCTCGAGTTTGGAGATTGTGAATTCTGTAAAGAAATAATAACTTTCTAATATTTTTCAGATTTTATATAGTTATGTATGTTACTTTGGCTCTAAAACGTGATTTAAAAAATATATATATGAAAATAAATAATATTCTATTAAATTGATGATATTTGACATCCTTAACTTAAAACATTGTAAAATTAATTAATCACAACAATGTGTAGTATAGATAGTACTAGTATACTGAAGACAGTATTGAATGGGGTCTGGCATTGCATTAGCAAGAATAATATATTTTTTTATTTATCCTTACTTTTTGTAAACAAGCAAAGACTCCTCATATTCCTTTAAAATTAACAAAACATTTTCTGCTGGTAATTGAGTCCGTGACCAAACTTTGTCAAATAGTTCGAGAGAGATCATTGCTTCTAGAACCTCTGGGGGTAATTTGTCTTCAGAGTGGAGTGTTTCTCCATTAGTAATAATATCATCATCAATGTTTTCTTCACTCTCTGATGATTCATCACCTTCCATTTCATCATCATCTATAATGCCAAAAAAAACTTTTAATTACCATAAGAACATTGTTTGTACATCACAACATTGGCACTAAGTAACTAAGGATTATGGTAATGAGTCTAAAGATTTTGTAAACATGGTATAGGGTAGATACATAGTCAACATTTAAAGTGTAAAGGAAAATTTAGTGACCCATTTAGATAATATACAACTCTGAACAGGTGACATATGTGGTAACTGGTAGTATAAGCTTACCTTCACATGAACAAATATTGGCTAATATTTCAATAGCACTTTGTTGGGCATCTAACATGTGTGTCACTGCTTTAATCTGATTCTGTAATACAAGACCATCTTTTCCTTTTGTCTGGACTATTTTCCCTGCTCCATTTTGTAAAGGAACAGAGCTTGATAATTGGTTACATGCCATTCTATGATCAATTGATAATGTTTTTGCTAGTATTTGCATTATTTGGCTAACTACATCTACTGGTAGTGATGCAATATTCCCATTACACATATTTATAACTATTCCAGCTGCTAGTGTTTTTATCAGTAATATATGAGGTTCATTGCTATCTAATAACAAAAAACCCTTTAAATTTTGTTCAGTTGTCAAATGAATTTTTTTCATTGCTACATTATTGTCTTCAACTACTACCAATATGCATTGCAAAACAGCTATAACAATATCACTTCCAAATGTAGCTATGTCTAAATATCTTGGTAAAATATCCAGTATTCGTGATTCAGTTAAATATTTGACTGCCAGATCTGTAAATTAACAATAAAAAAATGAACTAATTTAAGAGGAATTTCAATTATTAAATTAATTCTGAACACCTACCTGAACTTTCACACAAATTCAGTAGGAGATTGACACACTGAATGAATGTATCAATTTCTTCATCTTTTGTTTTTGTGTTTACTTCTGGTGTCCATGTCTCTGTAAACTGTTACAATAATATATAAAAAAACTAGTTTCAAAGCAAAGCAGTTTTATAAAACAATGTAATTTTACCTGATGAAAATAGCAGACTAGAGGTGTCATAACATCTTGCTCCATTAAAGCTTCACATACTTGTTGAAAAACTGATAGGTTGCGCAGTGAACCTGCAGCTGCATTTCTGACAGAGACAGAGGGGTCAAGAAGAAGGGGTGCAACTATTTTTATGAGACTTTGGTCAATAATTTTCTCAATATTCTCAGGACTTTCAATCAACATAGCAAATGTCTGAAGTCCACAGTATTTCTCCTCTACATTAACAGTCTAAAATGTAAAGGATATAATTGAAAAACATTTATATTTAAAAAAAAAAAAGTTTGATAACGATTATGTTTTACTAACCTGCAACTGATCTATTATTGTCTGAATAGCATTTTCATTTGACTCTAATGGAATTTCGTGTTCAATTGTTTCAACAACTTCTGGAGCTTGGCTTTTATTTGGCCTACGTTTCTTTATTTTTCCCATTTTAGAAACTTAACCTAAAAACAACACGTTTCAACTTGATGAGAATTTTTAAATTTACTTCCACAATGAAGTATGAACATGAACATCAAACAATCAACAATTGACAGTTGACAGTTCACGCCTTATGATTGAAGTTTAATAGATACTACAAAGCAACTACATAAACTGTGGTTATGAGTTTATATTTTTTGGAATCCCTCAATACAATTTGACATTTCTATATTCATTACTACGGAGCACGGGTGATCATGATTCATGCTACAGTAGCGAGTAGCGACGCCATCTTGCCTAGAAAAGCGTTGTGGCGGGTTCTTGAAATAATTATTAATTAATTTGAATTTTTAAAGTCATCTCTAAACAGAATCAAATATAACAATTAGTATAGGTTCTATAGTCAGAAATGAATAATCTGAAATGGTTTTTAAAGCCTTGTCAAATAGCCAGTTACGCATACTATAGCCACAGTATTAACCTCATAATTTTATTTATTAGGCACTTCTTTAATTGTCATTTTAAAATGGTAACCTGTAATAGTTGATAATGTTATCTTCGATCAAAGTAAAAAAGGAAGTCAAACCACCAAAAAAGACAAATTTTTAATTTAAAACGTAAATATTTTCTGTCAAAAAACTATTCGGCTAGTAAACAATATTTTACTGATAATTTTAAATGTTATAACTAATTATACAAATCCGTGACGGTTGACCGAAACATTTTTTTTGAATTATTACATAATCATGGACACAAGGCCTTTAGTACATAACAACAATTCATCTGTATTGTCAAGTAAATATGATTCTAATAATGATGCTAATAAAATAATAAATAACTAGCAAGACCGCATGCAAGCCGACTGTCCGTAAGTAAAGGAAAATCAATAGTTTACTAACTCTCACTGTCTATTGGGGAGGTATTAAATTAATTAATATTTTTTAATAAATTTTGATAACTAGTAGTTGGGCCTAGATAGGGTTGCGTATCCTTATATAATGGGTTGAAGGAATTCAACCTGGTATATTTTTATTTTTATTCTATAACAAAATAGATCCAATTTGGTTCCATGTAGGCCACCGTATACATGTAATGCAGCTTACATGTTGTTAAGTAAGTGTAATAATTATTTATTTCACTCTCTTAACAGTATTGACTTAGCTCGATCCTAATTCATCGCTCGGTTTAACCGACGCATTAACGCGACGGTAGCCAATTTTAAACATAAATCAAGTTTTTATTCCTTATCGACCAATAATCAGCAGCATACGGTAGCAGTTCAAGCTTTGATGGATCCATCCGCGCGGGCCTCGATTTCTCACGACCTTCCTTTTGTATTTTCCGTAATATATGCATTTATAAGTTTGTTATATTTTTTATTAAAAATAATAAATGCATTATTAACGTTCCAGTTACATAACATAATTAATATGAATTAAAGAAAATACACAAACAGCTGCACTCAGGGTCGTCTATTGAATCATTTCTAAGAGTATATTAATAATTAAAATATAAGTAATTAGATATTATTTAAATAATGGTGCGCGACTACAAAATTTAATGACAGATTAGCTAACAATTTATTTTAAAAAGCATAGCGACGTAAAGTCTTAAGTGTTTAAGTTACTTATGCGTCCGACTTTAATTACATATACATATATTTATTCCACATATTGAGTAGCTAACATAACAAATATATTTTTTTAATGAGAATAAGCATCGTTACATTACTTTAACTACCTAGGTCATCTGCATAATGACATATCTAGACATTAATTTAAGGATAATCAGAGATGGTGAGTTGGCGTATGCAAGTCGGCGGCGGCGCGGCGTGTCAGCACATATACTTCGTCTAATTGCACCCCTGTGGCGTGATGGATGGCCGAAGCCCCACCCTATGCACACTGCACCCTCTCGCACAAGCGGCAAGCCGAGCCCCAACACAAGGGTTGTTCTCAGAAATTCCATTATCGTTCGCTTCGTTTCATTTGACAATGCACCGACTGTAACGTTAAAAGTTCTTCAATATCCCTGAACAAGATTAAAAAATGTGAATAAGTATTGTATTGTTCTACAGAATTATAAGAAAGTTTATTGTTGACTATTGTACCTGCTGCGGCAGGTGAAATCTTTAGTTTCGAATTGTTATTATTTATATTAATTGTATGTTAATTAAGTCAATTTAGTACTTTTAAATGTGGCCCAATTGTTTAAGAAAGGTTCTTAAAATATTGTTTATATTCGTTATTCATAGGCACTTGGTTATTGCACTTAGTCACGTGTTATTTTTCTTATGAATTATTTATATATACTATATTATATATACTACATTTTACAACTAAGCTTTTCAATACGATAGACAGGGGTAGAGAATTCTTCATAAGTAGGTATTTAAAGGCCCCTATTCAAGGTATCATATTATTATACATTAAAGGGTTCAAAGCAGCCTTGATTACAATTTACTCGACAATGGAAATCTGCCTTCTCAATCTCTTTTGTACGACTATAATAAAAAGGAAATGTAAAAAAGATCAATATTTAGACAGAATTGATTAAGCTCGACCGGACGCGAATACGCTCCCTCGCGTTGCTTGGCGCTAATAAACGTAAGGCAGGATGAAATATTCGACGGAATCATGTTAACTCGTCCGTTCTCAGCGTTCTCCTGTCAAAATACCAATAAAAAGTGCGATTATTCCCATTTAACTCGTATTCGATAGTATTGTTCGATCGGAAATCGAAACCTTTCTTGTTGAATAGCGCTCCGATTTCGCATTGAATAGGTATCAACGTTCATATACACTTCCGTAGTGCAATAATTATAGTTGGTAGTTTTTTAGCTTTTTAAAAACATGACGATAATATAATACCTATACATATATGTATTAATTTTTATTATATATGTATACTATACATTCGTTCACACGATCCATAATATAGCATATTCTTGACTCGTCCCTAATGGAAAAGTTAGCTAAATACAATTATTGTTATTCTCCATGGGGCCATTCCCCTATGGCGCCATTAAGACGTCTTCAAGTTCGTTGGTGAATCCTCGTAAACCAAATTTGTAAAAGAAATGTGCATATCTCTACTGACCACATTTATAGACCCAACATAATATCTTAGATGTTAAAAAATTACTTACAACAACAAGAGAAAAGCAAAAACGTAATCATACCAATGCAATAAGTGAGTCGTAATGTGTATGACAAATCACTTCTGGTTACAATGTTAAAAAGTGAGCCTTTACACAATTACTAATCAGACAGTTTTTTGTTATTTTAGAACACCTGAGTAGATCACAATGTGGCCTTTTATAGAACATATATAATATTAATCCATTGGTTCAGTTTATAATTCTTATTAAATGCTCACGGTCATGACTTGTTTTGTTTAATTATTTTACTTGTGTCGGTGATAATTCCTTCGGAGTTTACGTAACTCGATAATATTTCTTTCTTCTATTTACGCTATAGCAATGATTCTCGGCTTTATTTAGACAAGATGATAGATAAAGAGCGATACCAAAGCGGCGCTCTTGTCAAGAAATAAAAAATAGAACAAATAGAGAGATCCGGGTTCTTAGCTGGCTGTGTAACACCGGGGGTAGCTTATATAAAGTAAACAATGAGACCACTTTTTTAGGAAAAGGTAACATACGTTTTTCGGTTATATACTTATTTATATTTTATAGTAAATTTGTAAATTGGTGTAATATAATTAATCGCTTAAATATTATAATGATGTATGCCCTTAATTTTGTATTAATAAAATATTAACAAAGTATCAAATTTTTTGTCACATGTTGGTAGTTAGAAGCATCTTATTTTTTACAATATGTACTATTTGCAAGGATGGAAAACTTAAGAAGTCTTGTAAGTGCAGACAAAACTAGTGTAGTAGTCTACATAACTTTTTATACGACTTCACGGTTCGAGTCGAAAGTTTCCTTGTAAATTGTGGTTACAAGTTCAAGACTTCAATTTCCGGCCTAAACGATCAATACGCTCCTCGATGACAGCCTAACGAAAAGATAGCAGAGTAGGTATACCTCGGAGAAATACGAAAGGTTTTACCGTTAATAGAATTTGTCCCACAAGAAATGAGATTTCGACGTAGAACGCAGAATTTGTCGATTTCCAATTTATAGGAGGATATTGAAGAGATATTGATTTGCCTGCCGTGTTTGTGGCGATAAATTGAAATGAAAGAATCTAATAGTATTTTTATGCAAAACCTATACCAAAAATATTAAATAGAATACTTTATAATATAAATATAAATCATTTTCAATCTATAAATTAAGAGTAAAAGTTTACGAAACATTTTACAACAATTGACAGGTGTGCCAAGTTTTTTAAAATATGTATTGAATTGAAATTAAATATTGTTGGTAATAATTTAGGATGCATTAATTATGTAGGCAAGTAGGTCTATATTATTTTAACTCACTCTGTATTCTACGCTAAATCTTAATGTTGATATTCTAAAGTGGGGATACACTGCAAATGTAAAACACTTACATTTGCAGGAGCTAAGAATCATTGCTATACTATTCCTAGAACAAAGTCGCTATTATGTATTTGAGACAGTTTTGTATGGTATTTTCGTCTGTCACTCTTGAATACGTACAAGTTGCATCTTCTTGGAATGTCGGAAATAGCGTTTCTGAGTACTCTTGACTCCGATTTCTTGTCGCTCGTCTCGAATTTATTTATACCTGCACTAATCTGATGGCTGCCATCAGAAAGATACACGCACATTCCCAATACATTTAATTTACAATTTTACCTACATTAGTTATGTGTCTAAGTAATTCAAGCTGTTTGCAAATTGGTTTTGTATTTAAAGTAATAATACGAATTGAGTGCGTTAAAGATTGTAAGCCGCAATGGGCAGGTGTGCGTGGTAACTGGAGAGTCGAGCGGCATCCTCGGACCTTTGCGGCATCGACGACGTACGCGGCACCATCAAAGAAGCGAGGGTCGACGCACGCGGCTCTCGATTCTCGATCCTCCCGCAGCCCGCGCCGCGTCCGCCCTTTCACGAGATATCTTCGGTTCGTTCCGTGTGGCCGGCTATGCACCGGTCGGAACGGCAACTTGTAAGCAATGCTGTGTCCGTCGGCGCGCAAAATACGCTCAAAGAGAACGTACCTCTTTGAACCGGTTATTGTTTACAAACGACCAGTGTATAATGGTCATCAATTGCCCCAACGAAATTTTGTTGCTCTTGTAAGTTTCATGGAAATCATGGATTTATATTTCTTCCCTTTTATTCAAGTCGAATGGGCTTGACTGAGTGACGCTTTTTAATAAATTGTACTCACACCTTTGTGGTCTCTGTTGGACAGCTACTGGTTACAGCGTACAGGCAAAGTTGCTATAAAATGAAAATTAATTACACGGCAGAAATGTTATAATTAGGAACTCCAATTTTCTGTGGTCAGTAAAATCTGTAAACTATATTTTCGTGGCGTTTAAGATGATGATTGAATGAGCCAGGGGCATGCTACATTGAGTTGAATTAATTACAAGGGTACCGGTTGGCGGGCGCGCCACTCTCTGTCTTTACAACATAATTTGCACTTCGTGCGGCAAGATCAAAGCGGCGGCTATTCACTGTCGGCGCTTTGATCACGATGAAGCCTTTGACTGCCGCCGCCTCCGCAGGGCACGCCTCGAAATAGTCAATTTGGACACTTTTTATAAGCTCACAAAAAAATTGTTGATATTACGTTACTATATTTAAAGCAAACAAAATTTTGTGCTTACTTGCTAAATCGTAGTTGTTTGCGAATCCTACGGATTGTAAATAAAGACTACAGTTAATTTACTATTCCAATGAAATGTACTGTATACTTACAACGTTGTTTATCGTTGCTGATTGCGTTAATATCCCTATTAAACGAAGGGCGTAATCCTGGAGAGATTTTAGTTTTTTTTAATACGTCATATTGGTTTAAAACTTTAAATAAAATACAAAATTGGAGTCGGAGCCGTTAAGCTAATCGACGGATAGATATTTTAATAAATAAACTGTTAATACTTTTTACTAGAATCAGAAAAATTTTCTCAGTTCAAAATTGTTTAGCTTTGCCGTACTTATCTCTTAATTGTCGATGTAGCAAAGGTGAAGTTAATGGAGATTGTAGAAAACATATAACTTTTAAGCGGTAGCCGACAAAGGGATAAAATATAGAGCCAATTAATTTAATCGCGCGGACGAAGCGGAGTTGCGAGTCGTGCCCATAGGCCAAAAAAGTATTCGGGTAGCGCTGTATAGCATACTTGTTTACGCACTTGATGCCTCTCTCAAAGGTCCTGGGTTTTATTTCTAAAAAAAAGGCAGGAACGAGTCTCACTGGATTTAATGAATAATAATTTAATGTAACCTAATAAAAGATTTCCTCTTATTTCACCAATAGATAACCTAATTTAAGAAAGGCAACAAAAAAACTAAAAGCTTTTCTGCACATTTTCTTAACTTTAGTTCAAGAAATAGCTTTCAAAAGTTAGAAATCAATAGGTTTATATATTTCGTAATGTTGGTTTATATATTTCGTAATGTTGGCCTATTTAATCCCTAGCTTCTTCCTGCAAGAGGTACTTAATTGAACGACGAACTCGGTACTCATCGTAATATCCTTTCATAAACAAATGATACAACGAACAATGACAACAACTTTTGTATTATTCTAGAGACATCGCATTGAATGATATTGTTGGTAATAATGACGCTGTAGCAAATAAAAATAACATAAAATAGATTAAGTTATGTTTCTTGTATATGTTTATGTCTTCTTTAAAAAAATTCGCCATTTAGTCTTAGGGAACACAATTTAAAATGCCGTGCAAAATGTATTAACGGCGAATAGTAAGCCGATTTTTAATAGACTTCCAAAAAAGCGACCGGAGATTACTCACAGACAACAAATATTTGTTAACAAAATATAATTATTGTGACAATAAATTCACGTGTTGGCAATTTTGTATGGCACTGATTTAACAATACGTAAAATTAAGTATATTT